AGAGAGTTGGACTGGATGGCCTTAAGTATTTTCTGTTGGTCATGGGGGTTCTGTGTGGGAAGTTTGCCCCATTTGTGGGTTTCAGAATTAATTGTAATGAATTACAGTAACTACAAATCCCAAATGTCAAGGTCTATTTCCTCCGAACTCCATCTGTGTTCATATTTAGGCATATGGAATTTTTGTGTCAAGCTTGGTCCAGATCCATCATTGTTTGAGTCCACAGTGCTCTCTGGATGTAGGTGAACTACAACTCCCAAACTCAAGGTCAATGTCCATCAAACCCTTCCAGTGTGTTCTGTTGTTCATGGAAGTCCTGTATGCCATGTTTGGTTGAATTCCATCATTGGTGGAGTTCAGAATGCTCTTTGATTGTAGGTAAACTATAAATCCCAGCAACTACAACTCCCAAATGACAAAATTAATTTTTTTTGAGTGGAGGACATAAATTGGACTGTTAGGTGTCTTGTGTCCAAATTTGGTGTCAATTCCCCCAGTGGTTTTTTGAGTTCTGATGGTAGCACGAACTAACATTACATTTTTATTTATATAGATGTACCAAACATACCAAGTTTGTATGAAAATGTGACTCTATTTCCTGTGCTGGTCAATGACCGAAATAAATGATTTGATTGATTGATTGATTGATTGATTGAATAATAATAATAATAATAATAATAATAATAATAATAATAGAGTAAAATAATAGAAATGTAATAATAACAGTAATAATAGAGTAAAATAATAAATATAATGATAGGGTAAAATCATAAATGTAATAAAACAATAATAAAGAGAGTGAAATAATAAATGTAATAATAATAGAGTAAAATGATGTAAATGTAATAATAGCAATAATAATAGAGTAAAATAATAAATGTAATAATAATAATATACTGTAAATGTAATAATAATAAATAAAGTGAACTGATAAATGTAATATAACAACAACATCAACAACAGAGTAAAATAAATAACTTTGGCTCAGGTATATGCCATGGGGGGCTTTTTCAACCTAAAAAAGGGCTGAAAAACTTGGCTTCTACTCAAGTGTATACAGTAAGTAGGCAGAGTTTTCCAGAATCCATTCTGGCCTTGTGTGATGGCAAAATGAGAGTAGTGAAATCTAGAATCCCGCTGCCAATGGCTGTCCCAGCTGGGGATTCTTGGAGCTGCAATCCCAGAAAATAACGTTTCCAAGCTCTGTAGCCAATGGTGTTATTTGTAACCTGTCTCAGCTTTTCTTGAAAAGGTGGGGTGATTATGCCTGGCATTGTACGTATGAAAGCATGGCTGGCTGAGATAATGCACTTGATAAGTGTATTTTGTTGTTAGGGGAGACCGGCAGCATTTATGTGGGAAGAAACCAGATTGCTGTTTTATTCAGTGAGGTTTCCTGTTGAGAAATTACCAGATTGGAGTGGAAGGAAGCCATGGACAGGAGAAACAAGCTCAGATATAGATTTCTATTAACATAAAACACTGTGGCCCAAGTACATCTTTTGGCTTAGATACTACGGGGAATATCATGAGAATATTTGCATAAACCACAAACCACTCTAAACACCCTTGCAGAAGCACACAAGAAGCTCAGCCTCTCATTGAACATTGAAGAAACTAAAGTGCTCTTCTAGCAGGCTCCAGCCAGTTGCTCTCCAATGCCAGAAATACAGCTTAATGGCATAGCATTAGAAAATGTTGACCATTTTTGCTCCCTTGGCAGCCACTTCTCCACAGAAGTCAACATTGACACTGAAGTACAACACCACCCGAGCTCTGCAAGTGCAGCATTCTTCTGAATGAAGTAGAGAGTGTTTGAGGACTGTGACATCCATAGCGAGACCAAGGTGCTTGTTAATAAAGCTATTGTCCTCCCAACCCTGCTATACACCTGTGAAACGTGGACTGTCTACAGATGTCACACTCAACTCCTGGAACAATTCCATCAGCACTGCCTCTGAAAAATCCTGCAAATCTTGTGGGAAGACAGGTGGACAAATGTCAGCGTGCTGGAAGAACCAAAGACCACCACCATTGAAGCTATGGTCCTCCGCCATCAAGTCCGCTGGACTGGCCATGTTGTCTGAATGCCCGATTGCTGTCTCCCAAAGCAGTTACTCTACTCCCAACTCAAGAACAGAAAATGGAATGCTGGTGGGTAGGAAAAGAGATTGAAAGATGGGCTTAAAGGTACTTATTTACTTAGGCGATCTCTTGTTGGACGAGTCAGATGGTCTTCCATGATGGGTTTCCTTGTGGATTCGTAGGTGGCTGTGGAGCCCTATTCTTGACCCGCATCTTCTCCCACAGTGAAGGCATTGGTTTCCAGGTGGAAGGCGGTCCCGGTCGGGGTTGGCTTGACGCGCCTTCCTCCTGCCACGTTTCTCTCTTTCACCCTCCACTTGTGCCTCCTCGAATTCTGCAGCACTGCTGGTCACAGCTGACCTCCAGCTGGAGCACTCAAGGGCCAGGGCTTCCCAGTTCTCAGTGTCTATGCCAGAGATTTTAAGGTTGGCTTTGAGCCCATCTTTAAATCTCTTTTCCTGTCCACCAACGTTCCGTTTTCTGTTCTTAAGTTCAGAGTAGAGCAACTGCTTTGGGAGATGGTGGTTGGGCATCCGGACAACGTGGCCAGCCCAGCGGAGTTGATGGCAGAGGACCATCGCTTCAGTGGTGGTCTTTGCTTCTTCCAGCACGCTGACGTTTGTCCGCTTGTCTTCCCAAGAGATTTGCAGGATTTTCTTAAGAGATTTGCTTAAGGGTAACCTTATAAACTGTGGCATTGACACTGGAAACTGGAAACCTTGGCCCTTGAGCTCTCTTAACTGGAGGTCAGTTGTGACCAGCTGTGTTGCGGAATTTGAAGAGGCACAAATGGAGGGAGAAAGGGAGAAAAATATCAAGAGGAAGAAGGAGAGTCAAGCCAACCCTGGTTGGGACTGCCTTCCACCTGGAAACCGATGCCCTCACTATTCAAGAACACAGTCAAGAATAGGGCTCCACAGTCACCTACGCATCCACCGCCAAGACACAATTGGAGGGTCATCATTCTTGGACAACGAGGGATTGCCTAAGTAAGTGAAAGTGTGGTATTTGTTCGAACTCAAGGACTGGAATCAAACACATCTGAAGGGCGCGTAGTTGCCTACTTCCTGTGTTACTCTGCAGGTGTTTTGCTTGTCTCTATTTTGGATTTCTTCCAAGGAACTCAAGGTGTCACGAGCAGCTCCTCCATCCCAATGTTATCTACTCAACCACTCACAGAGCAGTTGAGCCAAGGTCAGTACGTATCCTTGTGAAGAACTGCACCCTAGGCAGAAAAAAATGAAATGCAAAGATACAGGATGGGGACGATGTCTGGCTCAACAGGAGTATGTGTGATAAAGATCTTGGAATCCTCATGGGGAGGAAGGTAAACATGAGCCAACAATGTCATGCAGAGACTAAAAAAGCCAATGGAATTTTGGCCATCTAGGGCCTGGCTCCAGGGAAGTCATGCTATCCCTCTATTATGCCTTGGTAAGACCACACCTGGAATCACACTGTGTCCAGTTCTGGACGCCGCAATTGAAGGGAGATGTTGACTCTCAGCTGGAGTGTGTCCAGAGGAGGGGCGACTAAATGGATCAAGAGTCTGGAGAACAAGCCCTATGAGGAGTGGCTGAAAGAGCTGGGCATGTTTAGCCTGAAGAAGAGAAGGCTGAGAGGACCATGGATAAAGATGTGAGGGAAAGTCATAGGGAGTAGGCTTGTTTTCTTCTGCCCTGGAGACTAGGATGCAGAACAATGGCTTCAAACTACAGGAAAGGAGATTCCACCTGAACATTAGGAAGAACTTCCTAACTGTGAGAACTTTTCAGCTGTGGAATTTTCTCTCTGCCCTAGAGTTTGGTGAAAGCTTCTTCTTTGGAAGCTTTTAAGCAGAGATTGAATGGCCATCTGTTGGGGATGCTTTGAATGCGATTTTCCTGTTTCTTGGCAGGGGGTTGGACTGGATGGCCCACGGGGTCTCTTCCAACTATAGGATTCTATGATCCTGAGGGTATTTTGAGAAGCAGGAGGATGACATGGAGTGTCTGTGCCTACCTTCAAGACAACAATTGAAATCTTGTAGTAGGATGAAAACTAGTATGCATTCCCTTCCTAAGTTGCCGCCATTTTTTTCACATCTATATATATAAAAATGCTCTGTGCGTAATGAGTACCTTAAAAAAAAGGAACCAATGAATGAAATCACACCAAATTTGGCAACAAAATGTCTTACAACACAAGGTGTGACCATCACTCAAAAATTATGATTTTGTCATTTGGGAGTTATAGTTGCTGGGATTTATAGTTCACCTACAATCAAAGAGCATTCTGAACTCCATCAACGATGGAATTGAACCAAACTTGGCACACAGAACTCCCATTACCAACAGAAAATATTGGAAGGGTTTGCTGGGAATTGACCTTGAGTTTGGGAGTTGTAGTTCACCTACATCCAGAGAGCACTGTGGACTCAGACAATGATGTATCTGGACCTAACTTGGCAGAAATCCTCAATTTGTCCAAATGTGAACACTGGTGGAGTTTGGAGAAAATAAAACTTGACATTTGAGAGTTGTTGCTGGGATTCACAGTTCACCTACAATCAAAAAGCATTCTGAACGCCACGAATGACAGAATTGGGCACACTTCCCACACAAACCAACAGAAAATACTTAAGGCCATCCAATCCAACTCCCTTCATCAGGGCAAGAAAACGTAATCAAAGTTCTCCTGACAAAGAGCCATCCAGCCATAGATAGATAGATAGATAGATAGATAGATAGATAGATAGATAGATAGATAGAGATATGATTCACACACAGAGATATGGTATCGTAGATTTGAAAGGGACCCTTAAAGAAGGACAATGATATGTTGCATGTTTCAGGGTGGGCAAACCAGACATTCTCCACATCAACACTGACAAAGAAGCAGCAAGAAATACTGTTTACCCACAAGCATAAAGAAATTACATATATTAGAAACCAACACTTTCTCATTACTTTATTTTCCAGATCAACAGACTGGGCCACAGCAACGCGTGGCAGGGGACAGCTAGTAACTAATATATATGTGGGAAATTGTCGGTTTTAAATTTATTTACTTTTTTTTTTGAAATTTCGCAGCATACTTCCTGTTTACATTGTATAAATTGGAGGTTATCCCTGGTCCATTCAATTCAAACAATTGTCAAATGTCTTTATTTACAGTTCCCTTTCTCAGCTGTCCATGTGATGTGATGCGGTATGTGCTCTGCCCGCCTAAACATGTTTTCCATTCTGTAGCAATGTTTGCTTTTTTTTTTGCATGCATTAACATTCAGCTCTTCCTCAGAAAACCATCCCCGCTGTTTCAGAACATCTGTCTCTTTGATATGGCAAATTATCTGTATCACCCAAAAAAACTATCAGTGGTGTGGAAATATTTGAAATGGGCCAAGCGTGATCCGCTCACAAAGTGTCTTCAAGCAGCAGAACTGGGAAGGAATGATTGATACTATAGATCCGTAGACACGTACCAATGTTTCCTCAAAATCTGAGGGACTGGGAATTGTTCTGCATCCTTTTTTTGGCATACAGCGGAGTAAGAGGGGAGGAAAGAGGGAGTCATCCCCATCTCCAATAGTGCAATATTGGGGTCCACTCCCTGGAGCTCTCTACCTCTTCGCCAGTAGTCTCCTGCTTTGGATACCTGAAGGAATCCTTAAATCTCAATCTTGGTTATGGAGCTGTTGCGTGGCTTTGCTGACGTCTCCTTTGGCGACATCTCCTTGTTCTTCTGCCTGATGGATATTTCACTTGCTAGTTTCCTGCTGACTTCTTCTCCCGCTTTCTCTTGTCCTGACATTCTCTCCTCCCTTGGGCCCTGAGGAGGAAGGCTTGTTTCTGTGGTCTCCGTGCTCATCCTCTGCAGTGTCTCTAATCCAATGGGCCACAAACTGCTGGCACTCAGAAAATCTCCGTTGGTCCTGGGAAGGCGCCTGCTTGCCTGGCTTCTCTTGACGTGGGATAGTTTGCTGGCCATGACAACAACGACCAAGAGAAGGCACACACAAAGGAAGACAAGTAGTCCAATGATAATGAGGCATATCATCATTAGTCTCTTATTATTTTCCTCACAGAGTTCAGCTTTGGTTGGGTTCCCACTCAGAGTCACAGATTCTTGACCTGGACCAGTGACTGAGTAGGAAGATGTTGGCACATCTGGTGGAAGCGTTGAGGCTAGTGGTGGAGATGTTGATGTCTCTGGGGATGATGACTGCATTGGCAACATGGTTGTCTGGACTGAGGATGTAGGCAGGAAGGTGGTCACCTGTGTGGTGTATGTAGTTGTTTCCTGAGAAGGCAGGGTGGTAAGGAGATCCTGTGAAATCACAGTAGTACTTGGGACCGTTGAGCTTGGGCTTGTTGGAGTTTGAGTAGTGAGAACAGAAGGACTTGTTGTTAAAGGAGTCTCCATAGCAGCCACTCCTATTTGTAAGCAAAGTGGTAGGATGGTCCCACAGAGGAACACCAAATATATGTGAAACTTGGCCATCGGTTTCATGTTTGGTTGATGTCACCTAGACATTGGGGAAAAAACGGGAAAATATTAAGTAAATAAATAAGACTGAAAAAGTGGTACAGTTGAATTGCCTTTCACCTACAGAACCATCTGACTGTACAATATAATTGGGTTGTTGTAGGTTTTTTTGGGGCTATATGGGCAAGTTCTAGAGGCATTCTCTCCTGACGTTTCGCCTGCATCTATGGCAAGCATCCTCTGAGGGTGCTTGCCATATATGCAGGCGAAACATCAGGAGAGAATGCCTCTAGAACATTCCCATAGAGCCCGAAAAAACCTACAACAACCCAGTGATTCCAGCCATGAAAGCCTTCGACAATACAATATAATTATTTGTGTGTTTGATTTTTGTAGTGCCATCCTATTGTCCCTCTAGGTCAGCATTTCTCAACCTGGGAGTCGGGACCCCTGGAGGGTTGCGAAGGGGTTTCAGAGGGGTCACTAAAGACCATCAGAAAACACATATTTTGATGGTCTTAGGAACCCCTTTGGCAGAGAAGACTGAAGATCTCTCCGCCTGTCCTTCCTTTCTGGAAACAAACGGCAAATCCTCCCACCAAAAGCCCTCCTCTGCTGTGATTGGCCAGCCTCTCAGCTGACCTCTCAGCCAAGGGGAAGATGTTTCTGAGACTCCAAGCAGGGAGGGGAGAGCAGGCGTCTTCAGCGCATGGCAGCATGGTGCACATGTGTGGGGCGAGGGAGAGTGTATGAGGCTGGAGAGAGGCTCATTCCAGCGAGTCCCTTCATGGCATTGGGGTCCTGTGTGGGAAGTTTGGCCCAATTCTATCGGTGGTGGGGTTCAGAATGCTTTGATTGTAGATGAACTATAAATCCCAGCAACTACAACTCCCAAATGTCAAGGTCTATTTCCCCCAAACTCCACCACTGTTCACATTTGGACTGAGTCCACAGTTCTCTCTGAATGTAGGTGAACTACAACGCCAAAACTCAAGATCAGTTCCCACCAAACCCTCCCAGTATTTTCTGTTGGTTATGGAAGTTCTTTGTGCCAAATTCCATCATTTGTGGAGTTCAGAATGCTCTTTGATTGTAGATGAACTATAAATTCCATCAACGACAACTCCCAAATGACAAAATCAATCTCCCTTCAGCCTCACCAGTGTTCAAATTTGGGCATATCGGGTATTTGTGCCAAATGTGGTCCAGTGAATGAAAAAAACATCCTGCATTTGAGATATTTACATTCCGATTCATAACCGCACTAGTATTCAAATTTGGGTGTATTGGGTATTTGTCCCAAATGTGGTCCAGTGAATGAAAAAACATCCTGCATTTCAGATATTTACATTCCAATTCATAACCCCACCAGTATTCAAATTTGGGTGTATTGGGTATTTGTGCCAAATTTGGTCCAGTGAAGGAAAATACATCCGGCATATCAGATATTTGCATTACGATTCATAACAGTAGCAAAATGACAGTTATGAAGTAGCAACAAAAACAATGTTATGGTTGAGGGTCACCACAACATGAGGAACTGTATTAAGGTGTCGCCGCATTAGGAAAGTTGAACAACACAGCTATTGTTCTTATAGGTTTGTAAGCAGATAAACACCATAATTAAAAACTTGAAATTGACATGCCCGGTAAATCAGTTAAGATACATTAATAATTTAACCTAAATTTTAGTCTGAATCGAAAGAGTTTCGTCTTGTGAATTGAACACAGATTAAAGCATATTCATTTTTCTCCTGCCTTCGAAATTGCAGAAGAAAATTTCTGGGTTTTAAAAAGATATTTATAGCATCTTGTATCCAAAGTGGAATGATAAATGTCATGGCTGTTTTCCCATCTGTGCAGAATCTTGCGTTGTTTCTACAAAAGATTACTGAAGCCAGTTGTTCCCCGAAGAAAGGTTTAAGTGCCATAACCCAAAATAACCCTGTTCTTTGCAGAAATTACTTTAAATTTACTTTAGTTGCATCTTCTGGATTTCTTATCTTTTCCAGATAGACAAAAAGGGGAAAGTTAGTTGTCTCTATAATTATAAATAAAGAGCCCAATGCCATACCTTCTTATAAAGGGGCTTAAAAGGAACTGTGAGTTTTGAATGCTACAATCTTCAATATGGTTAGTTAAGGTGCATCCCATTGGTCTAGATTTTGAGCCATGCATACTACTAATGCTTCCATGTGACTCTATGTGTGTATGCGGCTAGGATGTCCACTTACACAGACAAGCTTCTGCCTCCACAAACAAGTATAGTTCCCAGTACTCAGGAGACACCAATGACTCTCCCCCCAATGACATTGCAGGTTGTAGTGAGCACCGTAAGCCCACCACCCAAGTGAAGGCTTTCATTCGGGGACAGTTTCATCCTAGATTTTATGTGTTTCCTCCACCACAGGCATCCCAGTGTTTCTTACTCTCTCCAGTGGAGACCCCTATGAAAGCGCTGAAGTTGTGCAACTGATCTGCTGCTGAATTGTGATATTAATCTCAACTAAAATTAGATGCTTTGAATGTTACCTGGCATTTCGGGTATACAGTAGAGCAGGGGTCCTCAAACTTTTTAAACAGAGGGCCAGGTCACAGTCCCTCAAATTGTTGGAGGGCCAGATTATAATTTGAAAAAAAAAACCCATAAATGAATTCCTATGCACACTGCACATATCTTATTTGTAGTGCAAAAACACTTTAAAATAATATTATAATTAAAATGAAGAACAATTTTAGCAAATATAAATATATTAGTATTTCAATGGGAAGTGTGGGCCTGCTTTTGGCTGATGAGATAGGACTGTTGTTGTTGTTGTTGTGTCCTTTCAAGTCATTTCAGACTTAGGTTGACCCTGAGCGATGGCCGAGTAAATGACCTTGGAGGGCCGTATCTGACCCCTGGGTCGTAGTTTGAGGACCCCTGCAGTAGAGTCTCACTTATCCAACATAAATGAGCTGGCAGAACTTTGGATCAGCAAAAATGTTGGATAATAAGGATGAAGAAAAAGCCTATTAAACCTCAAATTATGTAATGATTTTACAAATTAAGCACTAAAACATGTTTTACAACAAATGGACAGAAAAATCAGTTCAATACACGGTAATGTTATGTAGTAATTACTGTGTTTATGAATTTAGCACCAAAACAGCGCAATGCATTGAAACAGCTGTGGATCCGAGCGGGAGGCAGACTGTGTTGGATAATACAGAACGCTGGAATAGCAAAGGTTGGATAAGCGAAACCCTGCTGTAGATGCAGTATACGTGTATGTGGACAGTGAAGTCTGAGAGAAATCAAGTGCAGGAAGGATGCCAAAGTGGCATTGGCACATTCAACAAAGTGTTGATGATTTAAACAGAGGCTGGATGGCCATCTGTCAGGGGATATTCCTGCTTCTTGGCAGGGGGTTGGACTGGATGGCCCATGAGGTCTCTTCCAACTCTTCGATTCTGTGATTCTATGATTTCTCAAATTTTGCAGTGTACGAAGATGTAACAGAGATCCACATAGTAGGGTTGAAAACTTAGTTTTGAACCTGGTGGCTGAGATAATGAAAGATGAAAGTTGGAAGAGACCTCATGGGCCATCCAGTCCAACCCCCTGCCAAGAAGCAGGAAAATTGCATTTAAGGCATCCCTGACAGATGGCCATCCAGCCTCTGTTTAAATGCTTCCAAAGAAGAAGCCTCCACCACACTCCGGGGCAGAGAGTTCCACTGCTGAACAGCTCTCACAGTCAGGAAGTTCTTCATGTTCAGATGGAATCTCCTTTCTTGTAGTTTGAAGCCATTGCCCCATTGTGTCCTAGTCTCCAGGGCAGCAGTAAACAAGCTTGCTCCCTCCTCCCTGTGACTTCCTCTCACATATTTATACATGGCTATCATATCTCCTCTCAGCCTTCTCTTCTTCAGGCTAAACATGCCCAGCTCTTTAAGCCACTCCTCATAGGGCTTGTTCTCCAGACCCTTGATCATTTTAGTTGCCCTCCTCTCGATTCCAGCTTGTCAATATCTCTCTTCAATTGTGGTGCCCAGAATTGGACACAATATTCCAGGTGTGGTCTAGCCAAGGCAGAAGAGAGCATGGGGAGCATGACTTCCTTGGATCTAGACACTATACTCCTATTGATGCAGGCCAAAGTCCCATTGGCTTTGTCAACACAAATTGATCCTACTTGATCCTCCCAATCCAGAATAAAACTCTTTTTCACAATGGAGATGGTGGCAGCAGCAGGAACCTTTCCTCCCCAACCTCCAAATACTCCTATTAGTTTTAGACCGCCCTTCAAAGGGTCATTGCTCTTGTATAGAAAGCATCCACAGATGCCCATTATAGTGGCGGCAGCGTGTGCTTCCACTGCTGGCACAAAGCACCCACTGTTCATTGTGGAGCTTTATGGTGGAGATTGAAGATTTCACTTGAAGAGACAAAAGCAGAGGAACTGACCCATTAAGGGCTCTTTCTTCACCTTCGCTCACTCTGGCCATAGGGCTGGTTTTGTGCTGGAATTGCCCCAAACCTGATGTTATTTGTGCCTTTCTCCTCTCTGATATACAAGGATTGAATGAAAAGTAATGCCTCCACCTTCGTTACTTGGGTTTGGATGGGAATATTTTAATAAATCAAACACATAAATAATCCTTAGAATGTGCTCTTTAACTACCACTATTCACTTTTCCACATAATCACCAGACAATTGGATACATTTCTGCCAACAATGAACAAGTTTTCTGAAGCCTTAATGGAAGAAGTCGACACTCTTGTTTCCACAACCCATCGTGCACAGATCTTCCGATAGCCAAGCAAAGCAATAATGTGACCCACGCATTCTTGTGAAATGCCGATTATGCTTGAAATTTCTCTCTGAGTGATATGACGATCCCCCTGAATAAATCTGTCAACCTTTTGCTTGTGAAACTCGGTGGTTGCTGTCACAGGACGTCCAAGTCTTTGTTTGTCACTCAAGTCAGATGTTCCCACCTCAACACCTTTAAGCTTACTCGCCCAACGACACACAATACTCATCAACACAATCACCATAAACAGCTTGCATTTTCTGATGAATCCTCTTTGGGGTGACACCTTCTGCTGTCAAGAATCCAATGATTGCACGTTGCTTAAGTTGCATTGACAAACCATCTGCGCAGGGTTCCATACTTCACACTTTTTAACAACACAACCGTTCAATGCTAAGGCTTCCCGCCAAAATGGAACTGTAGAGGAGAGTCTACTGAACACGCCAGTACTGCCGAATACCAGTACTGCCATCTGTTGAGGAATTACGAAGGTATAGGCATTGCTTTTCATTCAACCCTCATATAAACATTTGAAAGGCTGTGCCACCTCCTCCTCGTCCATAGGTTTCCTGTACTTAGTGTGAACTAATTTCTTGACCATTGGACTATGACTGTTGAAACAAGGATCTGAACCCCACTCAACCTATTGGGTGACCTTGCACAAGTTACATACTCTCAGCCTCAAGGGAAAGGCAGTGGAAACTCCTCTCAAACAATTTTGCCAAGTAAACCCTATGAGAGCGTCAACAGAGGATGGCCATAAGTCAGTAAAGACTTGGCATATAGCAACATTAGAGGATACGCTTGCTTCTTTTGGAAGCTGCAGTTCAGGGAAAGTCCCAAGGAAAGGTGGAAAGCAAGCCCCAGTAAAGGGGAAATATAGACTTACCTGGTCAGCAGAAAAATTGGTTCTCTGATACTCTTAATAGCCCTGCGATATTTTTGCTGTGGCCACAGCGGCAAACACTGGAAGCTGGATATTTTTTTTTTTGTGCATTGCAAGTGAATGTGTGCATCTGCAACATGATGTTTAGTTCTCCATTTAGAGAACAAAAACCACAAGGATGACACATTTCCTTTCTGGTGCAACTATACCGTGACGTGTAAGAGGAAGGTGGGGAGAAACCACCATTTTGCTCAAATTAGCTCTTTGGGTTGTAGGGATGCCTGAAAGCCTCTCTGCCGTAAAGTGAGGAATCGCCGTTTTCTGCCATTTCTGCATTTACTTTGAGCCCACCCTCCTTGTTTTTGGCTTATCTTTATTTCCAAATAGATCTTGCTGGGGATCCCTTTCAGGGTTTTTAATCTGGCAGACTTTCTGACCACACGTCCCGTCATGTGCTTCAGTTTTCTGCAACATTCAGGCTGCCATATAAATGTTTCTGGCTTTATTGCTGTTGAATTTGAAATCACCTTATTGAGGCACAGTTGTGATGCCTCTTTTAAGAAGGCAAACCCTGTGGCACCTCCCGAGGCCCAGCTCCCAATGAGGTGCTGGGAGGCAGAGGAGATAGAGATACGACAGTCTTTATTTGCAAATAAACGTTCTGTGGTTGACAGCATGAAAGTGAAGTGCCATGCAAGACGCAGCTCAGTTGAGGCTTTTGTAGATTCTGCAAGCACATTTAATACATCTTTTTAAATATAATAATCTTTATTAAGGTTTTCTTAAAATATACAAGTGAATTAAAATCATCCTCGCGGATGAAACAGTTAGGAAAAGAAAAAAGAAAGAAAGAAAGAAAAAGAAAGAAAGGGGAAAAGAAGCTGGGGAAAAAGAGAAGAAGAGAAATATATTCTATATAGAAAAAATAGAAAGAAAGTCTTGACCTCCTGGTATCTTCCGACAATCTTCTATATGGTTCTATTTTTAATATTTCTTTATTTCTTTACTTTTTCATATTCTTCTTTCCCTGTTTTTTATTGCGTTCCAGTATTTAATTATCCTTTTCACATCACAATTTCTTTTTTCTTAAGTATTCAGTGACTTCAGTCTGTTTCTTTTCTTCTGATTTCTTTGGTTTTCAATAATAGGAAGGTAAGCCTGTCCAAGTTTCTAATATCTAACATTTTTATTATCCAGTCATCTTCTTTTGGTATCTCTTCTTGTCTCCATTTTCTGGCATAGCACATTCTTGCAGCAGTTAGAGCTAAAAATAAGATCTTATCTTTATCTTTTTCTGGATTCTTGTCATATATTCCTAACAAAAACAAATCCGGTTTCAATGGTATTTTCAATTTTAGCATAATTTGAATTTCTTTTTGTATTTTCCTCCAATATTCTTTTGCTTTATCACATGTCCACCACATGTGGTAATATGAACCTTCTTTCTTCTTGCACTTCCAACATGTTGTGCTTGTATTATTATAATTTTTTCTTAATTTTTTCAGGGTCATATTCAAATTTGGGTGTATTGGGTATTTGTGCCAACTGTGGTCCAGTGAAGGAAAATACATCCTGCATAACAGATATTTGCATTACGATTCATAACAGTAGCAAAATTACAGTTATGAAGTAGCAACACAAATAATGTTGTGGTGGGGGTCAGCACAACATGAGGAACTGTATTAAGGGGTCACAGCATTAGGAAAGTTGAGCACCACTGCTGTAAGCCTTCTCGTGTGTGCGTGTGTGTGTGTTTCTTTCCACAGATTCTTCCATTGATCTCTTCTAATACTAAGAAAACACTAAGATTTATTTAACCAAACCTATTTGTCATACTATTGCTATTTATTAATTAAACTAAATCAGGTCCTTATCCCTTGTCCCCTTCAACCTCTTTTATCCATAACAATGAAGACAGTTTTACTTCTTTATTTATTCAATGCCATAAAGGTACATGATACTGTACAAGTAAAACAAAGGTGCAGAATCCGTAATATGTGCATTTACATCTATGTTTATAAAAAAAGTCAGTGTTTGTATGTGGAGGGAGGGAGGGCGGTGTATGTGGCAGCTTTCTGATTGGCTACCACTTTCACAGGCCACTTTGACCTGCATGGGTGACGGACCTGGATCAAACTTGGCGCACATAACCCCCGTGACCCCCTTTATGGCCTGGTGCAGTTTGGGGGGAATTGGACCACAGATTATGGGATTGGTAGTACTTTCAAACGCTTTGGTTCCCACTGACCATTGTGACCCCCAACAAAGACCGATAAGGACCAAACTTGGCACACAGAGCCCCCATGACCCACTCTACATCCTGCTGCAGTTTGGAGGAGGGTGGACCATGGATGATGGGACTTGCAGTACCGTCACTCACTTACTGAAACCACTCAGACCCTCATCCAATGACTGATCAAGACCAAACTTGGCACACAGAGCCCCCATGACGCCATCTACATCCTGCTGCAGTTTGGAGGAGGGTGGAATATGGATGATGGGACCTGAAGTACTTCCAGTCACTTCCTGAGATCACTGCGACGCTCATCCAATGACTGTTCAAGACCAAACTTGGCACACAGTGCTCCCATGACCTACTCTACATCCTGCTGCAGTTTGGAGGAGGGTGGAATATGGATGATGAGACCTGAAGTACTTCCAGTCACTTCCTGAGATCACTGCGACGCTCATCCAATGACTGTTCAAGACCAAACTTGGCACACAGAGCCCCCATGACCCACTCTACATCCTGGTGCTGTTTGTAGGAGGATGGACCATGGACGATGGGACTCGCAATACCTTCACTAACTTCCAGAGACCCCTGCGAGCCACATAAATAACTGATAAAGACCAACCTTGGCACACAATGCCTTTCTCAAATAACCCGGGCACCGCCGGGTCCCCAAGCTAGTATACATATATTTATACATACATACATACATACATACATACATACATACATACATACAAAGAGGGGGAAAAGGAATGAAATATCTTTTCTCTCTATAAAAGTATGAATGTATTTCTATCTGTCTGTAACACATGGGCGGTTGTTAGGTGAAGTGTCCCCCATGATGTCGCTGGATTGACTGTTGCTAGGTGAAATGGCCCTCTGCAATGTTCCTGCGAAAGAAAGGTGATATGTGAAGGAGGGGAAGGGAGGGAGAGAGGAAGGGAGAAGTCATGAAGACATTGTGAGGCCCTCTCAGAGCTGGAGAAGGAAGAAAGAAGGCAGACAGCAGTCCCAACATCATTTGTATTATTGAGTGGCTGCGAGTTTTCCAGGCTGTATTGCCATGTTCCAGAAGTATTCTCTCCTCATGTTTCGCCCACAACTGTGACAAGCATCCTCGGAAGTTGAGGGGTCTGCTTGAAAGAGGTTTATATATCTGTGGAATGGCCAGCGTTGAAGAAAGAACTCTTGTCTGTTTGAGGCAAGTGTGAATGTTGCAGTTAATAATAATAATAATAATAATAATAATAATAATAATAATAATCTATATAAATAAAAATGTAATGTTTGTTTGTGGGATTAACAGAACTCAAAAATCACTGGACGAATTGACACCAAATTTGGAAACAAGACACTTAACAACCCAATGTATGTCCTTCACTCAAAAAAAATGATTTTGACATTTGGGAGTTGTAGTTGCTGGGATTTATAGTTCACCTACAATTAAAGAGCATTCTGAACCCCACCAACGATGGAATTAAACCAAATTTGGCACACAGTTCTCCCATGACCAACAAAAAATACTGGAAGGGTTTGGTGGGCAGTGTACTTTGGTTTTGGAGTTGTAGTTCACCTACATCCAGAGAGCACTGTGGATTCAAACAATGATGGATCTGGACCAAATTCTACAAGAATACTCAATATGCCCAAATGGGAGCACTGGTGGAGTTTGGGGAAAATAGAATCTTGACATTTGGGAGTTGTAGTTGCTGGGATTTATAGTTCACCTACAATAACAGAGCATTCTGAACCCCACCAACGATAGAATTGGGCCAAACCTCCCACACAGAACTCCCATGTGAGCCACAGCAACGCGTGGCAGGGGACGGCTAGTAATAATAATAAACCTTTATTTATACCCCGCTACCATCTCCTGCAGGACTCGGTGCGGCTTACAAGAGGCCGAGCCCAAATACATCATAAAACATAACAACAACGAAACAACAATAAATAACTCATAACAAAGCAAAAACAATACAATAATGACACAACACATTTTTAAAACCTGTGGCAAGGCCAAATGTAAGGATTAAAATGTAAAAATGCTGGGCATGTCCAAGGGAAATAGGATGGATAATTTTAGGGATAGGTGGGCGTGCAGACAGTTCTAAATGATCAGCATTTAATGGCCACAGATGTATAATTTTCACTTGCTTAGTTTCCAACAGACCCCACAACCTCAGAGGATGCCTGCCATAAATGTGGGCAAAATGTCAGGAGAGAATGCTTCTGGAACATGGCCATACAGCCCAGAAAACTCAAAGCAACCCAGTGATTCCGGCCATAAAACCCTTCGACAACACATTTGTAGTATTGTCTATATACTCCATTGTAATCATTTGTGTATTTAGGGCAATTCAACAAATACGTTCAGAGAACCTCAGCTGGTCCAGTGCATAGGTGTACCTGTAGACCTTTCTAAGGAATTAAATTTGGTGAATGTGCTTGGCATCATGTACCTCTATTGTCTTAAGACTATTTCCTCCTATAATGCTTTTTTCCCCCTCTTGGAAACAACAGCAGAGCTTTTAATTAAGTGCAAAACTACTTTAAATGAGCTTGTTTGGTATCCTGAAAGCATTTCTACGGCTCCCCCTTCATCTGCCGCTATTCATCTGGATGCTCTTGGACACATCCAATTAAGCAGCGGGATGCCATGTCTCAACTCTCAGCAAATGCAGCATCTGAATTATAATCCCATCAGATGGCGGGGTTTGTAATGGAAATGCCAGTGGTGGCTTAATTGGGGCAGCGCCACTCTAATAAATGACCTCGTTTCCCTCTTTTAAGTGCAGGCGTCATTTGAACACTTGGGGAAGGCAAATAAATCGGGATTTGATGAGGAATCCTTGCCGAGATACAGTTGCTGGCTTGGTTCTAATGGGGAGAAAAGTTGAAGTTGGTTTTCTAAAGTGGCTGGTTCAGGTTTAGAGCAATGAGTGCCTGGTTTCCTTCCATTTGTGGTTTATTCTCCCTGGTCTTTGAAATGAATGTGTGTTGTTGTGGAATCATAAAACTGGAAGAAACCCTAAGAGCCGTCCAGTTCAACCCCATTCTGCCATGCCAGCATACACAACCCAAACACTCCTGAAAGAAATCCCATCCTGCCTCAGTCTAAAGACCTTCAGAGAAGGAGACTCCACTAGACTTCTGTAGTGAAATTGCTACTCTATGTTAAAGTTTTGGTGTATAGCTATATGTTTACATATGGCAGATAGGGAAGAATAGGCACAGACAGGGTAGCAACTGCAGAGATAGGATTTATTTGCATATGTGAAGCCGATTGGTCATATGCAGATTAGTGTAGGCCCAGAATTTGAAAAGGCTGCTAGGCCAAAATGACAGTTGGGGAGAGCAGAGCTGAACATTCCAAAGGGGTGGAGCCAAGGTTCTGAATGAGGTAGTTAGAGTGAGAGAATTTGAAAATGACAGTTAGGAATCTGTGTGTGAAGAGGAGATTTGGTTTTTGAGTGTCTGATAGAAATAAGCAGTTATGAAGATGTGTTAAAGACTTCTGATATAGAGAAGCAGTTAGTTAATAGAGCTTGAGTTTGAAGGAACATAAAGAAGGCTAGTGTTGCCTTAGTTCAAAATATAATTCAGCCAAGAGTGTGTAAAGCAAGTAACATGTTTGTGAATGTGAAACATTGATAGTTTATTCAGGAAAGTTAACCAAGTAAATGATACTGACTGTAAGCCTCAAGATTGCAACAAAACACAAATGTAACCACAAGCGTTGGAGCCAGAAATTATAAATAAACTGTGTTACTTGGTTATACACAAGAGTGTTTCATTGCCTGTGATATAAAGTGCAAAGGTTTAACAGCACACAGAAAGCCCCAGCCCATATAAAAGAAAAAACTGAATCAGTATAAGGTAGCAAAATGGTTTTTAAAGAGGAAATAGTCTCCCTCCCTCGCCACAACTCCCAAACAGTCAGTAGGTTTTTCCTGATGTTTAGGCAGAACCTCTTTTCCTTCAGTTTCAATTCATTGCTCTGTGTTCAGGTCTTAGCACCAGTAGAAAGTAGACATGTGCGCAGTACCTGTTTGCTCCGTTTTATTCATTGGTTCGTTCCCTTTGTTACATTCGGGGGTCACGAAACGGTCTCCCGCCCAGTATGAAAATAACCTTGAAACGAAAGAAAGCGGGAGCGGATACTGTGTCCTTGCCTGCTTTTCAGCCCATGTAGCGCTCCTCACTCAGCCGACAGAATTGCCGGTGCTATTTCCCTCTTAGCCCTGTCTGTTAGGCCAGTTGGAGGAGAAGAACACCGTACACCTTACCTGTTTCCTGCCTTGCCTTGCCCGTCTCCTCTGCAGACAGGGAGGAAAGCATCACAGAAATAGTTGTAGCTTAAGCCCTGTCTTTAAATCCAGCTCTCTTCTGCAGGCAGAGAGGAAAGCATCATAGAAATGTTGTTGTTCATTTGTTCAGTCATTTCTGACTCTTCATGACCTCATGGACTAGCCCAGGCCAGAGTTCCCTGTCGGCCGTCACTACCCCATCTCCTTCAAGGTCAATTCAGTCACTTCAAGGATCCCATCCATCCATCTTGTCCTTGGTCGGCCCCTCTTCCTTTTTCCTTCCATTTTCCCCAGCATCATTGTCTTATCTAAGCTTTCTTTTCTTTGCATGATGTGGCCAGAGTGCTTCATCTTGCCTCTACTATCCTTCCCTCCAATGAGCCGTCGGGCTTTATTTCCTGGAGGATGGACTGGTTGGATCTTCTGGTGGTCCAAGGCACTCTCAGAACTTCCCTCCAACACCACAGTTCCTTCACTCAGCCTTCCCTAAGGTCCAGCTCTCACATCCGTAGGTGACTATGGGGAATACCATTGCTTTAACTATGCAGATCTTCATTGCCATTGTTGTTGTGACGCAGCTGGAATCACAGACTGTTTCTGACGAGTCTGATGAGGATGATGGGACTCAGGTTCACAGTTTGGTTCAAGATGTCCGTACTATAGACAGTGAAAAAGAAGTACAGTTTCCCACAGCAAGGCATGAGAGTGTTGATACTGAAGATAACAACCAGGTGCAGATTGACTCCGAGAAGGAGGATAGCTCTTTGCCTGGTTCTCAGCCTGATAATGAGCAAGCAGAAGCTAACGAGCAGATTGACCTTGATGATATGGGAACTTTAGATAGGGCTGCCCGGTTAGAATTCTGTGTTTGAAGGAGTGAAAGGATAGCTAACAAGAGGGAGGCCAGAGGCCTTCATGTTTTGCAAAGGGTATTAAACAGGGGGTTTGAGACCAGATCTTTGTCAAAGCAACTTTCACGTTTACCTAAGGAGCTTGCCTATGCTAGGCTGGATTATCTTTGTGTTCATGGTTCCAGGACTTTGTCATGTTCTCTTGGGTCTTGCTTTGCTGATGTCTATTGGATTTTGCTTCAAGTGCTATGTTATCCTGATCTTTTGAAACATTACCTTTGCTTTTAAGAACTTTTTACCTTTTATTTTTAATAAACCATAAAGACTTTTGACTGTGTGCAGTTTGATGTTCTTCAGCAAGGTGATTCTTCTCTGAGGTGCAACAGTGTGATGTCTCTATTCTTCACTATTTTCTCGAGATTGGTCATTGTTCTCCTCCCAAGAAGGAAATGTCTTCTGATTTCCTGGCTGCAGTCTGCATCTGCAGTAATCTTTGCACCGAGAAATATAAAGTCTGTCACTGCCTCCACGTTTTCTCCCTCTATTTCCCAGTTATCAATCATTCTTGTTGCCATAATCTTGGTTTTTTGATGTTTAGCTGCAACCTACAAAGCCCTGAACGGTTTGGGACCACCCTACCTGCGTGACCGCATTGCTGTCAACGAACCCACACGCTCACTCCGGTCATCTGGAGAGGCCCTGCTCATGATCCTGCCCGCGTCACAAGCGCGCTTGGTGGGGACGCGAGACAGGGCCTTCTCCGTGGTGGCCCCCCGCCTCTGGAACACCCTCCCGAAAGATCTCAGACAAGCCCCTACATTGGCAGTCTTCAGAAAGAATTTGAAAACCTGGCTGTTCCAATGTGCCTTTTCAGACTAGGAACCCCAGTACCAAATCCCAGAAGCACTTTAGTTAGAACCAAGATCACCGCACACCGCACTTATTTTATAACCCCATATTCCTCCGACACATCAGCACTTTTAATCCTGTACCCCTACTCTGGCCGGCTCAGTTTTAATAATGTCTTGTTGTACTGCTATTGTTATTGTTTTTGCTTAACTGTTTATTTGCTAGGTACTGTATTGTTGTATTGTGTGGGCTTCGGCCTGTTGTAAGCCGCATCGAATCCCTTGGGAGATGCTAGCGGGGTACAAATAAAGTAATAATAATAATAATAATAATAATAATAATAATAATAATAATGGTATCATCTGCATATCTAAGGTTGTTAATGTTTCTTTCAGCGATTTTCACCCCAGCCTTGCATTTGTCAAGCCCTGCACATCACATGATGTGTTCTGCATACAAGTTCAATATGTTGGGTGAGAGTATACAACCCTGCTGTATGCCTTTCCCAATCTTAAACCAGTCTGTTGTTCCATGGTCACTTCTTACTTGGTCCTTATACAGATTCCTCAGGAGAGAAACAAGGTGATTTGGTATGCCCATACCACCAAGAACTTGCCACAATTTATTATGATCCACACAGTCATCATAGAAATAGTGGTAGCTTAAGCCTTGGCTTTAAAACCAGTTCTCTTTAGATGTGTTGGACTACAGCTTCCCCAATTGTCCTGTCTTTATGTGGGTGATGTAGATCAGTATATCTAGAGGGCAAAGAACAACAGACAAGCCCATTGCAGTATACTAATCACGATTGCGCCTACATTGGCCAGCGGCATTGGAGCGGAGCTAATTTCTCTGCAGATTTCTGATAGTGGCACTGGCCTTGTTTTTATGCTGTGCAGGAAGCTGATCTGGCTGAGATGTTTTTAACATCTATTTCCCTTGGTATTTATTCTGTGCCAGCGCTGGGTGGAATTCTAGGCCTCCCCAAGGGCTCTTTCAGTGTGAAAGACTCACATGCGGTGAAAGATATAGTAAAGGGTAGGCAACAGAGAAGCTGATGGGATCCAGACTCCTCTCACAGGCAATGGTACAACTAAAATCTAACCAAACTACCTCCCAGCTGGGGCAACGAAAAGCAAGTGTGAATTAATGACTCATTTTCCCTCAAAGCTTTAAGAACTTTGCAAGCAGGTTTAGCAGCAGAGGAAAATTCCCAAGGTCACAAATATAGATGTTAAGCATTGCATACTTGTTAATATGTGACTCTGATGTCAGCAAGGTCTCCAAAACCCACTTGCCTATTGGTAGAGGCCCAAACTCACTCTCTGTTCCTCTTCTAGGTTCAAGACTGGCCAGATCAACGGGGACCTGCTGATATACCACGTCCTGCTAACCCTGAAGCCATACTACGCTAAGCCATACGAGATTGTGGTGGACCTCACGCACGCCGGCCCCAGCAATCGTTTCAAGACGGACTTCCTCTCCAAGTGGTTTGTCGTCTTCCCGGGGTTTGCTTACGAAAATGTCTCGGCCGTGTACATCTACAACTGCAACTCCTGGGTGAGGGAGTACACCAAGTACCACGAGCGGCTCCTGACGGGCCTCAAGGGCAGCAAGCGGCTCATCTTCATCGACTCGCCTGGAAAGCTGGCAGAGCACATTGAGCACGAGCAGCAGAAGCTCCCAGCGGCCACCTTGGCCTTGGAAGAAGACCTGAAGGTTTTCCACAATGCCCTCAAGCTGGCCCACAAGGACACCAAAGTCTCTATTAAAGTACGTTGCGCTTAATAATCTGGTCTGTGCCTTAGAGAAAGTGGGCCATGTTTATTTATTTATTTGACAGACAGCATTCTTTCTCTCCCTCAACTTAGATAGCAGAATATAAAACCAATTAAAGAGGCAGACACTAATATTAGACATGAAAGCTGATATTGCAAAGTATCAGTCTCTATTGAAAAATATGATGTCTTAACAACTGTAGTTCTCCGGCTGTTTATTTATCTGTGAAAGCCTAATAAGGATATGTGCATGTTTATAGATTTTCCCCCCTGAAATGACTGATGTTGTCAGAGAAGGAAGAAATGAGGTCCTTGCTCATTTGCTGAGCAACATGCTCTTCATTTAAAATACTATCCTAGTTTGAGTACTCGGCGTTGCTTGGGTTATTTTTAAAAATTCAATTTTGTAATTTTACAAAATGCATAAGTTTGTGGGTGAACTACAACTCCCATCATGCCAGATTAGCCCTGAGAAACTCCATCAGTACACACACCTAGATAAACTAAATGCCTTCCTGCAGGTTGGTTCTACAGCTGTCCAGGTGACTTCCGCAGAGCGCACAAGAGTGTTGGGACAGACGGTGTTCCTGAACGACATTTACTACGCCTCGGAAATAGAAGAGATTTGCCTTGTTGACGAAAACCAGTTCACCTTAACCATTGCCAACCAAGGCACGCCTCTCACCTTCATGCACCAGGAGTGCGAAGCCATTGTTCAGTCCATCATCCACATACGAACCCGGTGGGAACTGTCCCAGCCCGACTCCATCCCTCAGCATACGAAAATCCGCCCCAAGGACGTGCCTGGAACCCTGCTCAACATCGCGTTGCTCAACCTGGGGAGCTCCGACCCGAGCCTACGGTACGAACCCCTTTATTTCAGCTGAGACTTTCAGGCACTCATTTCCTTTAGGGAGTTCTCAATTCTCTCCTGGTCTGAAATAGACTGGCTTCATTTCAGGGTGTGTGCATTTATACATTTTAGCAACAATAGTCAACAACCATGGATTTCTCCATCCGAAATCTTTGCCTTATTATGTGAAACTCAGTATAACATGGAACCATGTGCTGTTGAGCACATTGAAGCATTTTTAGCACTATATGTTTAGGAAGCATCTTTCCACTCAACTTCTTAGTTATTATAATAATATTTGTGTGTGTGTGTGTGTGTCAGGAGCAACTTGAGAAACTGCAAGTCGCTTCCGGTGTGAAAGAATTGGCTGTCTGCAAGGACCTTGCCCAGGGGATACCCGAATGTTTGATGTTTTACCATCCTTGTGGGAGGCTTCTCTCATGTCCCTGAATGGGGAGCTGGAGCTGACAGAGGGAGCTCAATGTGCTCTCCCCAGATTGGAACCACTGATCTGTCGGTCAGCAGTCCTGCCGAAAGAAGGGTTTAACCAGTTGCGCCACCAGGGGCTCCTAACAATGTACTATATTTGTATTCCACTCTATCTCCCCGAGAGGACTCAGAGCGGATTACAGAATGCATATATGGCAAGCATTCAATGCCGTTACACAATTAACAACAAAGACAGACAGTACACAAACAAAGGCGAAGGCTTCCCCCTTTTCATAAGGCATAAGACAGTCCAAGCAGTCATGCTGGTCACACGACCAGGGCGTGGCAACGTAGGCTCCTTGACATGGAAAGGGAAAACATCACCTCCCCCAGAGCCAGAAATGAGCACTGCCTCCAAAGCCAGAAATGAAAGGAGAAGCCTTTGCCTTTGTGTTTGTGTTTGTGTTTGTGTGTCTCATTGTATTGTAACAAGGCATTGAATGTTGGCCAGTATCTGTTTACACTGTAATCCGCTCTGAGTCCCCATGGGAAGAAGGACAGAATATAAAGAAATTATTATTATTATTATTATTATTATTATTATTAATCTCTGGCATCTGGAAGCTGTGCAACTCCGGCCATGAAAAGGTGCTCTTGTTCTGTTTACACTGTTTACACTGTAACCTGTTTACACTGTAATCCGCTCTGAGTCCCCATGGGAAGAAGGACGGAATATAAATAAAGTATTATTATTATTATTATTATTATTATTATTAATCTCTGGCATCTTGAAGCTGTGCAACTCCGGCCATGGAAAAGTGCTCTTGTTCTGTTTATACTGTTTACACTGTAATCCGCTCTGAGTCCCCATGGGAAGAAGGACAGAATATAAATAAAGTATTATTATTATTATTATTATTAATCTCTGGCATCTGAAAGCTGTGCAACTCTGGCCATGGAAAGGTGCTCTTGTTCCATTTTCCATGCCGAGGAGCCTGTTGTCTGTGGACACCTTCTTGATCGAATTGCTTTTACCTCTGTGCCAAAGCAGTACCTATAAATCTACTCACATTATTGTTTTTGAACTGCTAGGTAGGCCGAAGCTAGGGCTGATGGCGGGAGCTCACCCTGAGCCATGTCTTTGAACTGCAAACCTTCCAGTTGGCAAGGTTTACTGCAGCTGGTGGTTTAACCTGCTGTGCTATTGAGGCCCCACTTATTTTTATTTTTTATTTATTTATTTACGACATTTACATGCCACCCTTCTCACCCCGAAGGGAACTCAGAGCGGCTACAAGTAAAAAGTAAATACAATATATTATATTACCATAGCACAATATCAGTATTATATATTACATTGTACTATAACATTATACTGTAATATTATTAGTAATATTACATTTAATATAAAGTATATAATTATAATATCATATTATTAGTTCTAGTATTATATTGTATTACATTATAATATATATTATATTCAAACACTTCAACACAAGTAAGATGTGGAGTACAAGGCAACCTCTCAAAACCAATAGCAGTAGATAGGGGGGTGCGCCAGGGGTGCATCCTGGCCCCTATTCTGTTTAACCTATTCCTGAACGACCTAGCCACACATGTCTCACTACCAAATGGACATCCCCCTAAAATCTCATCCACCAATATACCGCTATTGTTATATGCAGATGATGCTGCCCTCATATCTTACACCAAGGTAGGACTCAAGCGAGTGCTGAGTGCATTCTACCAATACTGTGAAAAAAACCAGCTAAAGATAAACTATAGTAAAACCAAAATCATGGTCTTCTCAAAGAAGCGAGCCAGGCATAACTGGTACATAGGAAATAACTTAATTGAACAAGTTTCCAGTTTTAAATATCTAGGGGTTACCTTTCAAGCCTCAGGTTCCTGGGGATGCCACCTAAAAATGGCAGTTCAAAATGCCCTATCCAGTAGTAAAGCAATAATTCGCTTTTTTTACACCAAAGGTGGCCAGTATATACCAGCAGCAACAAAGGTCTTCCAAGCAAAGGTAACAGCCCAATTATTATACGCAATTCCGGTATGGATCACAGGCTTCACATCTAAAGTAGAACAAGTTCAATCAGGGTTTCTTAGAAAACTGTTTGCTGTCCCCAGTTGTGTTCCATCTGCTGTTTTAAGACTGGAATCAGGAACAGCCTCACTCGAATCACTGGCTTGGAGAAGGGCCCTAGGATACTGGATGGAGAGGGTGCACAAAGGGCCTGAAGCGGGATATACATATCTGATTCAAAAAGACCTCTTTAAATCCCACCGAATCAAAGCGCTAAATCAGAAACTCGGGCAGATGGGCCTCTCAGAGAACATATTGAGCGGTTTTGAGCATAAAAAGAGAATGCAGATCTTAGCGGAACGAATCAGTGACATAGACAAACAGGACTCAATGACTCTGGCGTGCTCCACATGCTCTCCATTGAGTTTAGGCCTAACATTTAATTCTTTGGGAGGTGCCAAATACTTAGAAAATTTAAACATCCCAAAATTTCGCCTTGCTTTCAGTTGGGCCAGATTCAATGCCCTCAAATCAGCCATACTAGAGGGTAGATACAAAGGGACTGATTACGAACACAGAGTTTGCCCATGCGGGGAGGGTAAAATTGAAACTGTAACACATGTACTTTTTATTTGCACAATTTACAAGGATGATAGACTAAGGTTAATATCCCCTCTACTCACCAAGTGGCCAGGAAGATCCCTAAGTTGGTACTGCACTTATTTACTGTCTGATCTTGATAAAAGGGTAACGGAACAGGTGGCCAAATTTCTGTTTGCAGCGGCAAAAAGCCGCAAGTGCTTCATGAATAACCTGTAAAGGCTGAGTGTAACAAAGAGTACTCGGGAGACTTATTATTAACTTGCAATCAGTTCCTGTTTTAGATTATATAGACAGCCATTCATCCGATAGCGAATGGTGATACTTGTTTTTATTAATTATAAGCCAAATGTGATGTTATTAATTGTTTATTGTTGTATTTCATCATTCTACTTTCACTTGACTTAGCCGATGGTTTGTTGACCGAAATAAAGGCTACTGACTGACTGACTGTATTACATTATAATATTATCAATATTATATGTATATATATTATATTATATTATATTATATTATATTATATTATATTATATTATATTATATTATATTATATTATATTATAAGCACAGTGCAGGAGATAAGATGGAACTGCCTTCCTGGCCCCTCTCTTCACTCTGATCTCAGAGCAGCGGTTGATGCTGGAGGGAGGGGGGCTCCCAGCTGATGATACTGGAGGCAAGATGGAACTGCCTTCATGACCCCTTACGTCACAGTAGATTACATTATTCAATGTTTAGGCTGTTCTCATTTACTTTTAGAGCTGATCCGTTTAACTATGGATTTAATAGACATGCATGCATGCTTAAATAGATATATGAGACTAATGACATTGGATTTAAAAGATTTCATTTGTCCAGTCTTTCAAAATTCCTTTGGGTGGGGACGTTGAACAAGGTAGCTCTGTACTAATCCATCTGAAAGTGAAAGAAAAGACAAGTCACCTGCTTTCCCATTGCATTAAGAAATAGTTCACTTATTAAATCCAGCTTTTGTGGATCCTGTTTTTAAAAATGCTTCCCTTCTTCTCTGTTGCAGGTCTGCGGCCTATAATCTTCTATGTGCCTTAACCTGTACCTTTAACTTAAAGATTGAAGGCCAGTTACTGGAAACTTCGGGTCTGTGCATCCCTGCCAACAACACCCTTTTTATTGTCTCCATCAGTAAGACGCTGGCAGCTAATGAGCCCCACCTCACTCTAGAATTTTTAGAAGAATGCATTTCCGGATTTAGCAAGTCCAGTAAGTCAAGATACTTCATTTCTGCTTTGGCTTGAATGGTCGAAAGGTTTGGATTCTGCTGACAAACAGAAGCAGACACAGTGTTATTACAGTATTATTGCTGCAATTCTTTCTCCTTCCTGTGGAAGATGTCTTCATTAGCAGTGCAATCTCTATTGGTGCCATTCCCAAACATAACAGCCAAATCTGGTTGCTACTTAGCAGGCATAGCAGAGGGTTCTTGTGTCAGGCACGTCATGATGCAAACTGATCCGTGAGGGCTGAGCGAAGATTATTACATTTGAGTAATCAACCGTATCACCTTGGTTTCTGGCTGTCAGGGAAACAACTGTCTTGCCAAAAGAAAAAGAATATTATTTATTTATTTATGACATTTAGATGCCGCCCTTCTCACCCCAAAGGGGACTCAGAGCGGCTTACTATATATATATATATATATATATATATATATATATATATATATATACACACACACACACACACACACATACACACATACACACACATATGTATATATATATACACTAGCTGTACCCGCCACGCGTTGCTGTGGCCAACCTTCCCTCTCTCTTTCTCTCCTTCCTTCCCTCTTTCCTTCCTTTCCTCTTTTTCTTTCCCTATCTCTCTTCTTTCTTCCATCTCTACCTGTTTCTTTCCTCCCTTTCTTTGCTCTTTGGTAACATACTTCCTTCCTTCCCTATCTTTTGTTCCTTCTCTCCTTCCTTCCCTCTCTTTTTCCTTTCACTTTTTATTTCCTTCTCTCCTTCCTTACTTCTCTATCTTTCTTTCTTTCCTTCTTTCCCTCCCTGCTTCTCTCCTTCCTTCCCTTTTTACCTCCTTCTCTCGTTACTTCTTGATTGTCCCTTCCATTTAATATTGTATTTATATCTTAGAAAGAAGGAAGGAAGGAGGGACGGGAAGGAAGGAAAAGAAAGAAGGAGGAACAGGAAGGAGGGAAAGAAAGGAGGGGGATGAAGAAAGGAGGGAGGGAAGGAAATGAAGGGGAAGGAAATGAAGAAAGGGAAAGAAGAAGGAAAGGGAGGGAGGGAGGAAAAGAAGGAAAGGAAGAAGGAAGGAGGGACAGGAAGGAAGGAAAAAGGAAGGGAGGGAGGGAAAGAAGGGAAGGAAAAAAAGAAGGAAGGACAGGAAGGGAGGGAGGAAGTAGAAGGAAGGAAGGTGGAAGGAAGGAAGGTGGAAGGAAGGAGGGAAAGAAAGGAGGGGGATGAAGAAAGGAGGGAGGGAAGGAAATGAAGCGGAAGGAAATGAAGAAAGGGAAAGAAGGAGGAAAGGGAGGGAGGGAGGAAAAGAAGGGAAGGAAGAAGGAAGGAGGGACAGGAAGGAAGGAAAAAGGAGAGGGAGGGAGGGAAAGAAGGGAAGGAAGGAAAAAATAGAAGGAGGGACAGGAAGGGAGGGAGGAAGAAGGAGGAAGGAAGGAGGGAAAGAATGGGGGATGAAGAAATGAGGGAGGGAAGGAAATGAAGGGGAAGGAAATGAAGCAAGGGAAAGAAGGAGGAAAGAGAGGGAGGGAGGAAAAGAAGGAAAGGAAGAAGGAAGGAGGGACAGGAAGGAAGGGAAAGAAGGAAAGGAAGAAGGAAGAAAAGGAAAGAAAGGAAGGAAGGAAAGGGAGGAAAGAAGGGAAGGGAGGGAGAGAAGAAGGTCCTTCATTCAAGCACCGTGGACCTTCCTCCTCCCCCTCCCCCCTCCTTGCGTGGATGCTCCGTTGCTGCTGCCGTTGCTGCTGCTTTCCCAACAGGGAAAGGAGGAGGAGACTGCTCTCCTGACATAGGAGGGAAAGAGAAGGGGCTGCATGCGGCGCGCCTCCACTCCACTCGCTTGTGTGTGTGTGAGTGTGGCCGTGCACGTGCGCTGGCTTTAACGGCCGGCTGTTTTCCTGCGAGGAGGAGGGGGGGCGTGGCCATGGGTCTCTAGACATGGAGTTTCCCCTTTGTGGACATGCAGTTTAGAAGTCCTTTTTGTTTTCGTTGTTTTTTTGAGTGGAGAACATACATTGGGTTGTTAGGGACATAGTGTCCAAATTTGGTGTCAATTGCCCCAGTGGTTTCTGAGTTCTGTGAATAGCACAAACGAACATTACATTTTTATTTATATAGATATTATTAACATAATAATAATAATAATAATAATAATAATAATAATCTTTATTTATACCCTGCCACCATCTCCCCAAAGGGGACTCGGAGAGGCTTACAAGATATATATACATACAATATATTATATTATATTATTAACATAATAATAATAATCTTTATTTATACCCCACCACCATCTCCCCAAAGGGGACTCGGAGCGGCTTACATGAGGCCAAGCCCAGAGATACATTACAGCAACATGAAATATAAACAACAAAATAACATCACAATAAAATAAATAAACCAATCAAGTAAAACTTCAAACATTCAGGCATCCCCTGGGCAATGTCCTTGCAGATGGCCAATTCTCTCACATCAGAATCTACTTGCAGTTTCTGAAGTCACTCTTGATATACAAAAAAATCATCATAATCTACCACTTTTTTTTCTCTTAAAGGGATTCAAAGTGATAAACAGTGGTAAAAGCATCCCCACCTGTTTTCCCAGTGATTATTAGACTTCTTTGATGGGCATATCGAAGCTGTTTCTTTCAAAAACTCTTTGCGGAGCAGCCCTTATAACATAATAATAGAATTATATTAGCAGCTGTGACAGTGTACATAGAAAAGGGAAGCTTGTATAATGCAGGCTCTCACGTGGGTGCTGTGCACACTTTGATGGGCACCCGGAGTCAGCCTTCTTGCAAAATCTCTTTGCAAAGACAGCTTTCAAACACAGGAATGGAATATATTGGCAGCTCTGACAGGTAGTAAACGTGTACAAGGAAGGCCAAGGTAATGCAAGCTCTCATATGAACGTTGTCGAGCTCTGCGCCCAGGAAAAAGTTCTTCTCCTTCCGTCCTTCCTTCCTTCGTTTCCTCCCAGACGAAAGAGTTTCCCGAGCTCTCCCTGACAAAGGCAGGGGCATCCACTGACATACCAAAGAGCCTTATTTGTGATTTGTTTGCATGTCTTTGTATTTAAAACCATTACCCTCTGTTTGATCTGGCTCCACGTTCATTCAAAGGGCCCATATTTTCCTGTTCGCTTCCTTCTTTGTTCTGTTTGGAAAGCCCCTTCTGTTTTAAAGGTGACTTGGATTGCAGTATTCCAGGAAACTCCGATCCATGTTGTCTTTTGGCATCCAGAACTATTTACTGTTCTGATTTGGCTCTTTGACTTGATTAGTTCTTTCAAGATTAGCTTTTTGTCGGTGCTTCGGCTTGGTTTGAGAATGATAACCTTGCATATTTTGTATAGACATCAGGTTCTTTCGCAAAGCGAAGCCTTATTTCCCAAACTTCACTTCCTGATTGTTCTTACGCCATTATTTCTATTTTTGTTTCAGGCATTGAGTTGAAACACCTCTGTTTGGAATACATGACTCCCTGGTTGTCAAATCTGGTCCGCTTCTGTAAACACAATGATGATGCCAAACGCCAGCGGGTCACCGCTATCCTTGATAAGCTTATCACGATGACAATAAATGAGAAGCAGATGTACCCTTCCATCCAAGCTAAAATATGGGGGAGCTTGGGACAGGTACTACCTTTTCCAGTTAATATTCTGGCGGGGTGGGATGGGGCGGCGTGGGGGCGTGGTGTGAACGTGGGGGGGTGTGGCCGGGGGAAGAAGAAGGAGAGGGAGGAGGTAAAGTTGGGGTATGGGCGTTTAGGGGCGGGGCGGGGGAGGGTGGGGGCGGGGCGTGATCGTGGGGGGCGTGGACAGGGAAGAAGAAGGAGGGTGCGTTGGAAAGAGGGCGTATGGGAGGGTAGGGGTGGGGCGACGGAGGATGGGGGCGTGGCTTGCGCAGAGGGTGCGTTGGCCGGCCGGCCATGTGCGCGCGCCGGGGACTTGCGGCAGGGCGCCTTTGCGCATGCTCAGTTGTTTTGTCTAATTGTGAGTGTGTTTTAATGTTGTTTAGAATTTTGAATCGATTTGTGCATACCTTGTGGGTTGAGGTATGTGCATGGTAAATTTGGTAACTTTTCGTCAGGGTTTTTTCGCGTTTTGCTGTCCCGTTGAACGCCCTTTCTCTTTTTATATATATAGATTAGTAATATTACATGTAATATAAATATATAATTATAATATCATATTATTAATATTATTGTATTATGTTGTAACATTATAAATATTATATGTATATACAATATATTATATTACATTATATTATATCCCTTGTTTCTGTGGGTGATTTGTGAAAAGCCCCCGTCAAGATTCAGTTGCAGTCTTTGTGTTCATTAATCTGAACATTTTCTTCCCTTTTCCAACAGATTACTGATCTGCTTGACGTGGTGCTGGACAGTTTCATCAAAACCAGTGCCACAGGAGGCTTGGGCTCCATCAAAGCAGAAGTCATGGCCGACACAGCTGTAGCCTTGGCTTCTGGGAATGTGAAACTAGTTTCTAGCAAAGTAAGTAGTTCAGTTTAAAGCCTGCCCATACAAAGTCTGCCCAATGAATATTCTTTTAGTTTTTATCATAGGCTGGCCACATACCTAAACAGACATAGTTTCTAAGGAAAGGCCATCTTGTTATCTTCCTCTGCCTTCATATCTGGCTAGAATAGTGCTGCTTGTGCACTATTCAGTTTATATTGATGGGTTTTGGCACGAAAGGAAATAATCACAAGATGATCCCTCTTGGATCTGACCAGAGCTCAGCCTGTTCTTTTGCAGCCAGCCATGTTCATGAGCATGATGTAAAATCAGTGTTCTTGCCAAGCTATTGTGTACATGAGCTCTGGTTAGAGAGTGACCTCAAGGATGCATATGTATGTATATGATAAACCAGGCATGGGCAAACTTTGGCCCTCCAGGTGTTTTGGATTTCAACTCCCACAATTCCTAACAGCCAGTAGGCTGTTAGGAATTGTGGGAGTTGAAGTCCAAAACACCTGGAGGGCCAAAGTTTGCCCATGCCTGTGATAAACCTACATACTCATAAGTGAAACCTTCCAATGTGGATAGTGAACTATTTGGTGAACCTCACCTCTGAACTCAAGGGTCCTTGAGCATCGTATTTCTTTCAGTAAGGGATGCTTGGGCTCTCAAAACCCACCCACCTTCTGGAATATAGAGGCACTAGCCGTCCCCTGCCATGCGTTGCTGTGGCCCAGTCTGTGTGTATGTATTTTATGTGTGCATATTTTTGTGAATATGTGTATGTATGTGTTTGTGTGTGTGTGTTTGTGAATGTGTTGTGTTTTTTTTGGCTTTTTGTGTTTTTCAGTGTTTTTATGAGTGAGGGTCAATTGTTGGCCTGATACCTATATTGTGTCCAAATTTGGTGTCAATTCGTCCAGTGGTTTTTGAGTTATGTTAATCCCACAAACGAACGTTACATTTTTATTTATATCCTAGCCATCCCCTGCCATGCGTTACTGTGGCCCTGTGTATATGAGTTTTGTGTGTGTATGTATATGTATATGTGTATATATGTGGTTCTGCACATGTGTTACAAGGTTTTGTTTTTGTTTTTTGCTTTTTAAGTCTTCTGCTGTGTTTTTCAGTGTTTTTATGAGTGATGGTCTCTCATTGGCCTGATAAGTGTCTTGTGTCCAAATTTATTTTTTGGCTTTTTGTGTTTTTCAGTTTTTTTATTAGTGAGGGTCACTTGTTGGCCTGATACGTATATTGTGTCCAAATTTGATGTCAATTCGTCTAGTGGTTTTTGAGTTATGTTAATCCCACAAATGAACGTTACATTTTTATTTATATCCTAGCCATCCCCTGCCACCCGTTGCTATGGCCCTGTGTATATGAGTTTTGTGTGTGTATGTGTGTGATACGTATATTGTATCCAAATTTGGTGTCAATTCGTCCAGTGGATTTTGAGTTATGTTAATCCCACAAATGAACATTACATTTTTATTTATAACCTAGCCATCCCCTGCCACACGTTGGTGTGGTCCAGTCTGTGTATATGAATTTTGTGTTTGTATGTATGTGTATATGTATAGATATGTGGTTTTTTGCATGTGTTATAATGTTGTTGGGGGTTTTTTGTTTTTGTTTTTGTTTTGTTTTTTTTGCTTTCTAAGTCTTCTGCTGTGTTTTTCAGTGTTTTTATGAGTGATGGTCACTCGTTGGCCTGATAAGTGTCTTGTGTCCAAATTTATTTTTTGGCTTTTTGTGTTTTTCAGTGTTTTTATGAGTGAGGGTCACTTGTTGGCCTGATACATATATTGTGTCCAAATTTGGTGTCAATTTGTCTAGTGCAGTGGTTCTCAAGCTGTGGGTCCCCAGGTGTTTGGGCCTACAACTCCCAGAAATCCCAGCCAGTTTACCAGCTGTTAGGATTTCTAGGAGTTGAAGGCCAAAAACATCTGGGGACCCCAGGTTGAGAACCACTGGTCTAGTGGTTTTTGAGTTATGTTAATCCCACAAATGAACATTACATTTTTATTTATATCCTAACCATCTCCTGCCACTCGTTTCTGTGGCCCTGTGTATATGAGTTTTGTGTGTGTATGTGTGTGATACGTATATTGTGTCCAAATTTGGTGTCAATTCATCCAGTGGTTTTTGAGTTATGTTAATCCCACAGACTAACATTATATTTTTATTTATGTCCTAGCCACCCCCTGCCACGCGTTGCTGTGGCCCAGTCTGTGTATATGAGTTTTGTGTTTGTATGTATGTGTATATGTGTATATATGTGGTTTTTTGCATGTGTTATAATGTAATTTTTACTTTTTTGCTTTTTAAGTCTCTCCTGCTGTGTTTTTCAGTGTTTTATGAGTGATGGTCACTTGTTGGCCTGATAGTGTCTTGTGTCCAAATTTGGTGTCAATTTGGTTTTTAGGTTATGCTAATCCCACAAACGAACATTACATTTTTATTTATATCGATTTACTGCAGTAGCTTTGCTTTGCAAGAGAAATGGCTGCTGCTGCTGCTGCTTCTTTTTATTGTCATCTCCAAGCAGCGCACTGCTATAACTAAGACTGGTTGGTTGGTTGTGTCAGGATCACCGTATCAGCCTGGAACTGACTGCTTTGGTTCTCTGCCATAAAGAAGGGAGGTGGGGAGGAGGGAGGCTGGGTACAGTTGGGGAAGGGAGTGTAGATAAGGCATCTGTTTTGTGGGGGAAATTGAAACTGCAGTTAACAGGCTGTGGCCACAGTGTTTGTCCACTATGGTGTGTATGGGAGTTGGGGCTGATATAGACAGGAGGCTTAATCGGGAAGACTTTAGAACTGTCCTTTTAGGATTGTGGAAAGCAGGAACAAACCGCTTGTCTCCAGCGTTCTATTGTTGTGAGCTTGATTTTAACTCCAGAGTCTGACAGGTTGATTCCTTTCAGGTCATTGGAAGGATGTGCAAAATCATCGACAAGACCTGTCTGTCTCCCACTCCGACATTAGAGCAGCACCTGATGTGGGATGACATTGCCATCCTTGCCCGCTACATGCTGATGCTCTCCTTCAACAACTCCCTCGATGTTGCCGCCCATCTCCCTTACCTCTTCCATGTAGTCACTCTCTTGGTGGCCACCGGCCCTCTGTCCCTTCGAGCTTCCACTCATGGCCTGGTCATCAACATCATCCATTCTCTGTGCACTTGTTCGCAACTCCACTTTAGCGGTAAGTCCTTCATGTGGTGCTTTTTATAGCCTTGGACATTAATCACTTCTTTTGCTTGGGCCCTGTTTCCTAGCGGCCAACTCAGGACAGTTTCAAGCGGTTGGCAAGGTAGGGTGTAAATCTATCTGAACGACCAAGTCTAGGCCTTAGGCTACTCTTGTAAGGGCTCTTCTACATGTAATAATAATAATAATATAGAGTAAAATAATGTAATTGTAATCATAACAGTACTAACATAACAGTACCATCCGTGACCTACTTGCTTTTCAGAAAGCCTGTAAAACTTTTCTTTTCCGACAAGCTTTTGATGAGTGAACAACTTGGGGCTATGTCCGTCCTTGCTACTTATTGTTATTTTAAAGCTAATTGTATTGTTTTAATCTGCTTCTGTAAACCGCTCCGAGCCAAATTGGGAGTAGCGGTATACAAGTTAAATAAATAAATAAAATAAATAAATAATAGAGTACAATAATAAATACAATAACAGTAATAAATAGAGAAAAATAATAAATGTAATAAAAATAATAATAGCTTAAAATAATGTAAATGTAATAATAATAATAATAAATAGAGTAAAATGATAAATGTCATAATAATAATTCAGACTGACATAGTTTTGGAGCACAATACTCCTGACCTCACGATCGTGTTAAAAAACCAAGCATGGATTGTTGATGTTGCCATCCCAGGTGACAGCAGGATTGAAGAGAAAGAACTGGAAAAGCTGTCACGTAGACTCTGCAAGGAAGCAGATGAAACAATAGATCACATACTCAGCTGCTGCAAGAAGATCGCACAGACAGACTACAAGCAGAAGCACAACACTGTTTCTCAGATGATTCATTGGAACTTGTGCCACAAATACCATCTGCCTATGGCAAAGAACTGGTGGGATCACAAGCCGGAAAGAGTTGCAAAGAATGAACACACCAAACTCCTCTGGGACTTCCAGATTCAGACAGACAGAGTTCTGGAGCACAATGACCTCACAATCGTGTTAAAAAACAAAGTATGGATCGTCGATGTTGCAATCCTAGGTGATAGCAGTATTGAAGAGAAGCAACTGGAAAAGCGGACATGATAATAATAATAATAATAATAATAATAATAATAATAATAATAATAACAACAACAACACTTTATTTGTACCCCGCTACCATCTCCCAAGGGACTCGGTGCGGCTTACATGAGGTCGAGCCCAAACACAAGAATACAAGCAATTGAAATAAAACATAAACGATAAACATATAACATTATCAGTAAGACAACATACAATTAAAACTGTGGCAGGATTTATGAGGATTTAAAGATTGAACTGCAAAGACTCTGGCACAAGCCAGTCAAGGTGGTCCCAGTGGTGATCGGCACACTGGGTGCAGTGTCTCAAGACCTTGGCCTGCACTTAAACACAATCGGCACTGACAAAATTACCATCTGCCAGCTGCAGAAGGCCACCTTACTGGGATCTGCACACATTATTCGCTGATTCATTATACAGTCCTAGGCACTTGGGAAGTGTCCGATGTGTGATCCAATTCAACAGCCAGCAGAGTGTCTGCTGTGGACTCACCTTGTTGTGTTTCAAATAATAATAGAATAAAATAATAAATAACTTTGACTTGCCTATAAGCCAAGGGGGGCTTTTCCAGCCTCAGTAAAGGGCTGAAAAACTCGGCTTATATTCGAGTATATATGGTATTTATTTATTTACAGTATTTATATTCTGCCCTTCTCACTCAAAGGGGACTCAGGGTGGATGACACTACACAAATACAGCAAACATTCAATGCCATTATACAATGACAGGACAGACACAGTACATAGATAGAGGTATCTAGGCTATTCCCATCTTTGGTGTTGTGGAGGTTGTGCTTGATTCTGGCCACAAGAGGGTGCTGTCACTTCATCCACCATGCCGAAGAGCCATGTTCACAGACGTCCTCCTTTTGTTGGTGTTGCCAGCATTTTTCTGGTATTTCCTTATGGTGCCATTAAAATACCTCCCTGCGTTACGCACTACCTATTCATCTACTCACAGCTGTTTTCGATCTGCTAGGTAGGCAGTGAGCTGGGCTGAAGGTTGGGCGCTCACCCCCGACCCGAGCTTTGAACTGCTAACCTTTCAATTGGCAAGATTTATTGCAGCAGGTGGTTAACTTGCTATGCTAAATCACGGCCTTTTAGTACAGCATTTAAAGGCATAGAATGACTTCCAAAGAATCAATTCATTCATGCCAGTGGCTTTACAGCATAGTGAAGTGGAATGTAATTTATTGCCTAATGGTGCCTGGGTTTTTTAATTGTCAGGTGGCTTGCCGATTTTGCGGCTAAAGAACAATGCAGTGTTGTAAAGATCAATATCTAGGTGAAAGTGTAAAGCATTTAGTCAGTCGTTGAGCTCCTATTACGGTTTTAGATGTCTCTAAACAAGAGGGCAATGCACTTTCTAATAGAAGCACCTATCTCTTCTGGAAAATGCATATGCGTCCCTTGGAGAAGAAGGCCGCTTCATTGTCCTTTTTTATTGTTCTGGTGTAACTCCAAGCACTAAACCACAAAGTATCATTCAGAACACAAACTCTTGATAGATTGCAAAGATTTCAAAAGACTTACCATATATACTTGAATATAAACTGACCCGAAAATAATAATAATAATAATAATAATAATAAACCTTTATTTATACCCTGCTAACATCTCCCGAAGGACTCGGTGCAGCTTACAAGAGGCCGAGGCCCAACACATCAATAAAACAACAGCATAACAAATACAACAATATTTGTACAACAATACAGAACCTCATAACACAAATAATAGAAGAAGGTAAGACTTATACGAAGGAAAAAGAGATTGCAAGCAAATTCAGGCAATATTATCAAAAATTATATAAAAAAGACGCAGTCACAGAAGAGGATATAATGAAGTATATCTCAGATCAGAAAATCTCCAAAATATCGGACGAATGGCACTTTAGATCTATGGAAGAACTAAAGAGGGAGGACAAAGAATTAAATTGGCTACAATATATACAAATTAAAGAAACCTTAAAGGTAGATCTAAAAGTGGGATTTAGTGAAAAGGACACATGCTGGGACATAATTATGAAAAAAGATAAGAAGCTGATTAGAATTTTATATCGAAACCTGTTAGAATGGAGTAACGAAAAGGAAGTAGTAAAAGAAAACATGGTCAAGTGGGCCAAGGACATAGGCCACTCTATACTACTAAGTGAATGGGAACAAGTATGGAAGGTCAAGCTAAAATACATTAGAACCATCAGTATAGTAGAGAATTGGCACAAAGTTTTCTATAGATGGCACCTGACACCTGTCCAATTGGCGAAATTTAGTAAAAACTATAACACGCATTGTTGGAAGTGCGGAAAAGAGGCTGGAACCTATTTCCACCTGTATTGGAACTGCAAAATGATCAAAAAATTCTGGACGACGGTTCACTAACACACACAAAATATTATCAAAACAAAGTTTGATATCAGACCTGAATACTACTTATTGAACATAATAGATTTAGGCCTAAAGAAAAACGAAGAAAAAAATTTGTTTTACTTATCGTCGGCAGCCAAAATATTAATAGCACAAAAATGGAAAAGTAAAGAAATTCCAACTAATGAAGATTGGATAAAAAAGATAATAGATTTCAGGAATTGTGACAGACTATCGAGTCAACTAGAGGAACAAAGCAAGACTAAACAAATAAACTGGAATTACCTGGAAGAATATTTGAAAAATAAATTTAAACTGGACATTTAAAGGTCTATGGGTAAGAAGAATAAGAGTAGCAAGAAGTAAGAAAAAGGAATAATGAAGCGAGACAATTATTCCTCTGTGGACTGAACGGAAGTGACACACACTTTTGTCTAACCCGTACCCCCTTCCCTATCTCCCCTTCACCTTCCCTATCTTACTCCCCATCTTCTCCTTACCTCTCTATTCTACCCTACACGGTCTGTCTAAACCTCACAACTCTCTATCACAATGATTGTTCTCCCTCTTTCACTGTAAAGGAAAATGGCATAAAAATAAATTAAAAAAAACAAATACAACAATAAATAAACTCAAAAAACAAGCAATAAACATTAAAACAATAGCAATAAACAATAACACCATGACACATTTAAAAACTAAGGCCGGGCCAAATGTAATGATTAAACATTTAAAAATGCTGGACATGACCAGGTGAAATGAATAGGCTTTTTGGAGATAGGTGCGGTGTGCAGACAATCTTAAATCTCTAGTAAAGTGCATTTGGGACATGATGCTTGGAGTTCCCTATTCTGGGAAGGCACACTGGAACAACCACGTCTTCAAGCTCTTCCTAAAGACTGCCAACGTTGGGGCTTGTCTGATGTCCTTGGGGAGAGAGTTCCAGCGTCTGGGGGCCACTATGGAGAAGGCCCTGTCCCTCGTCCCCACCAGTCGCACTTGTGACGCTGGTGGGATCATGAGCAGGGCCTCTCCGGATGTTCGGAGAGATCGTGTGGGTTCATATACGGAGATGCGGTCACCTAATTTTACCACAAAAAACTGGGAAAACGTATTGACTCGAGTATAAGCCGAGGGTGAGAAATGCAGCAGCTACTGGTCAACTTCAAAATAAAAATTGATACCAATACAATTACACTAATTGAGGCATCAGTTGGTTAAATGTTTTTGAATATTTACATAAGACTATAATTTAAGCTAATACTGTCCAACTCTGATCAAACCATTATTCTAACCTTCTTCAATGTAAATGTTCTTATGTATCCTTCCAATAACAATAAAGAGAGTAATATAATATAATACTAATAGAGTAGAATAATGGAAATGTATTAATAACAGTAATAATAGAGTAAAATAGCAAATGTAACTATAATAATAGAGTAAAATAATGGAAATATAATAAGAGTAATAATAGAGTAAAATAATACATGTAATAATAACAAAGAGAGTAAAATAATAAATGTAATAATAACTATAAATAGAATAAAATAAAAAATGTTCCATCTTGTCTCTTGCCTGTGTCATCAGGCAAGAGACACCCCCGGAACCATAGAATCAAAGAGTTGGAAGAGACCTCATGGGCCATCCAGTCCAACCCCATTCTGCCAAGAAGCAGGAATATTGAATTCAAATCACCCCTGACAGATGGCCATCCAGCCTCTGTTTAAAAGCTTCCAAAGAAGGAGCCTCCACCACACTCCGGGGCAGAGAGTCCCACTGCTGAACGGCTCTCACAGTCAGGAAGTTCTTCTTCGTGTTCAGATGGAATTTCCTCTCTTGTAGTTTGAAGCCATTGTTCCGTGTCCTAGTCTCCAAGGAGGCAGAAAACAAGCTTGCTCCCTCCTCCCTGTGGCTTCCTCTCACATATTTATACATGGCTGTCATATCTCCTCTCAGTCTTCTCTTCTTCAGGCTAAACATGCCCAGCTCCTTAAGCCGCTCCTCATAGGGCTTCTTCTCCAGACCCTTGATCATTTTAGTCACCCTCCTCTGGACACATTCTAGCTTGCCAACTGCTGCTCTAAGCCAGAGTGAAGAGAGTGCGGGGTAAAAGACAGTTCCATCTTGTCTCCTGTGCTTTACTTATAATACAATACAATACAATACAATACAATACAATACAATATAATATATACATATAATATTTATGATATTATAATGTAATACAATATAATGCTAATAATAATACAAGATTGTAATTATATATTTTACATTACATGTAATATTACTAATAATATTACAATATAATGGTGTAGTACAATATAGTAATGTACAATACTGATATTGTACTATGCTAATAATATAATATATTGTATGTATATATCTTGTAAACCGCTCTGAGTCCCCTTCGGGGTAAGAAGGGCAGCATATAAATGCCGTAAATAAATATGAATAAATATATTATTATTATTATTATTAATAATAATAATATTAATAATAATAGAGAAAAATAATGCAGTAAAATAATGTACATGTAATAATAACAGTAATAGTAGAGTAAAATTATAAATATAATAATAACAATAAACAGAGTAAAATAATAAATGTAATAATAATAATAAATAGAGAAAAATACTAAATTACAATTATAACTTGTAAGCCGTTCTGAGTCTCCTTTGGAGTGAAAAGGGTGGCATATAAATGTAGTAAATTAAGAAATGTAATAATAATAATAATAATAATAATAATAATAATAGAGTAAAATAATGTAAATGTAATAATAATACTAGTAAATAGAGTAAAATAATAAATGTAACAACAATAACAGAGTAAAATAATAAATAACCTTGACTTGAGTGTAAGCCAAGGGGAACTTTTTCAGCCTAGCTATCAGGAGATGGATGGGACACAATGTGGTCCGTAGCACTTTTTGAAACACTGACTTTCAGAACATTTGTCAAAAATCATTAAAAAAGAAGCATGGGAGACAATTTGGTGGCCATTGATTCTATTCACCGCAAGGAACCATCACATCACTGCCCACCATTCTCACACCTTAACATTGGATATAAATGGATTATCTCAAAATGAGTCAATGTATGTTACCCAATTTATCTTTACTGCTTATCTTCTCTGTATACTTCGTTACTGTTGTTGTTGTTGTTGTTGTTGTTGTTCTGAACTGATCTACCAAATTTACATCTCCCATATAATGACAGCTAGAATGGCATGGGTTGAAATGATTATTCTCAGACTGAAAATTCAACTTTTGCCAGGGCTGCCGCATGCAGATTAAATGATGCAGATAAATGACTTGACTGCTTCAGTCGGGTCTGGTTCGTTACACATAAGGTAGCATGGTGTGAACTTCTACCTCCGATTAGGAAATCATTGATATGCATTCTGACAATGGATGTGTACGTGAAGTGACATTTGCCCCAGTATGTCACAGACAGTCGAAATCTTCACTCATCTTGATTCACAGAAATGAAGAAGTAAAATGGAAGTTCCTTTTTTCCATTCCTAAGACAGGGTTTCAAAAGCAGTCACCTCTGATCTTGGCTGTGCAAAGGTGTTCGTCTTCCCATTATTGCCAAAATAAGAGGAAAAATAATATGTATTATCCTGTCCTTCAGTCAACTTTTTGGGTGACATGCCCACCCCTTTTAGTTTATCTTCAGTGCCCTGTGAGATACATTAGACTGAGTAACCCAGTGACATAGGGATTGTTTTCATGAGCTTACTCACCCCAATTTAATCCACATCAGAGAAAATGCTCTTCCTGGGCAGGGAACGGAAGATGTTTGTATTATATTATATTATAATATATTGTATTATAGCGATTCTAATAATATAATGTAATATAATATTTTTAATAATGTAATATAATATAATTATAATATAATATAATTGGGAGCCCCCGGTGGTGCAGTGGGTTAAAGTGTTGAGCTGCTGAGCTTGTTGACCGAAAGGTCACAGGTTCGAATCCAGGGAGCGGCGTGAGCTTCCGCTATTAGCCCCAGCTCCTGCCAACCAAGCAGTTTGAAAACATGCAAATGTGAGTAGATCAATAGGTACCGCTCCAGTGGTAAGGTAAGAGCGTTCCATGCAGTAATGCTGGCCACATGACCTTGGAGGTGTCTACAGACAACGCCAGCTCTTTGGCTTAGAAATGGAGATGAGCACCACACCCCAGAGTCGGACACGACTGGACTTCATGTCAGAGGAAAAATTTTACATTTACCTATTATAATATAATATATTCTTTATACATACAATATTTATAATATTCTTTATACATATAATATTTATAATACTATAATGTAATGCAATATAATACTAATAATAATATATTATAATTATATATTTATACTACACTAGCCATCCCTTGCCACGCGTTGCTGTGGCCCAATCTGGTGATCTGGAAAATAAAGTAATAGGAAAGTGTTGGTTTCTAATATATGTAATTTATTTATGCTTGTGTTGATGTAGAGATTGTCTGGTTGGCGTACTTTGGAACATGCAACATATAATTGGCGTTGCTTAGAGGTCACTTTCAAATCTATCATACTATGTGTGTGCGTGAATCATATCTATCTATAACTATGGCTGGATGGCTCTTTGTCAGGAGGGCTTTGATTATGTTTTCTTACCCTGGGGAAGGGAGTTAGACTGGATGGCCTGGAGTATTTTCTGTTGGTTTTGGGGGTTCTGTGTGAGAAGTTTGCCCCAATTCCATAGTTGGTGGGGTACAGCATGCTCTTTGATTGTAGGTGAACTATAAATCCCCAGTAACTACAACTCCCAAATGTCAAAGTCTATTTCCCCAAACTCCACCTGTGTACATATTTGGGCATATGGAATATTTGTGCCAAGTTTGGTCCAGATCCATCATTGTTTGAGTCCACAGTGCTCTCTGGATGTAGGTGAACTACAACTCCCAAACTCAACGTCAATGCTCACCAAACCCTTCTGGTGTTTTCTGTTGGTCATGGGAGTCCTGTATGCCCCGTTTGGTTCAATTCGATCATGCTATTTGATTGTAGGTGAACTATAAATCTCAGCAACTACAACTCCCAAAAGACAAAATCAATTCTTTTTGAGTGAAGGACATACATTGGGTTGTTAGGTGTATGCTGTCCAGATTTGGTGTCAATTCGTCCAGTGGTTTATGAGTTATGTTAATCCCACAAACGAACATTACATTTTTATTTATATGGATGTGATATTACTAATAATATTACAATATAATGGTATAGTACAATATAGTAATATTTAATACTGATATAGTACTATGCTAATAATATAATATATTGTATGCTGCTCTGAGTCCCCTTTGGGGTGAGAAAGGCGGCATATAAATGTTATAAATAAATAAATAAATTTATGTTTACAATTTTGGGACTGAAGTTCAATCTCTTTGCTTGTGTTCCCTTTCACAGAAGAGACCAAACAGGTCCTGAGGCTGAGCTTGACGGAGTTCTCACTGCCTAAGTTCTACTTGTTGTTTGGGATCAGTAAAGTGAAATCGGCAGCGGTCATCGCCTTCCGGTCCAGTTACCGGGACCGGTCCTTCTCTCCTGGCTCCTACGAGAGGGAAACGTTTGCACTCACATCCCTGGAAACTGTGACGGAGGCCCTGCTCGAAATTATGGAGGTATGATGTGCCATGAATGCGAGTGAAGTCTGGAGTGATGCGATTTCATTGGCAGGTTACTTAGCTAAACATTGACAGCCTATTCTATTTGTGTACTTTTTCTTTTTGTCTTTACTGTTGATATGGTCAGTGGATTAATCAATAAACTTCGTAATGGACAGCCTATTGATTTTTATTTGAGGATAATTAGTTCTTGTGGGCAGTATTACCATAACAGGGAAGACAAATGAAAATATCCAGATAATAGCAGTGAATAGTAACCATTTGCCTTGACTGCATCTGAGAAGAATAAATAGAGAGAGTGGATCATACCACTCCAGCAAAGGATCAGGAGCCATGGTGGTGCTATGGGAGCTGTTCAGCAGTGGAACTCGTTGCCCCGGAGTGTGGTGGAGGCTCCTTCTTTGGAAGCTTTTAAGCATAGACTGGATGGCCATCTGTCAGGGGTGATTTGAATGCAATAACTATAAATCCCAGCAACTACAAATCCAAAATGACAATACCAGGAGTCAGAGAACAGGCTGGGCTTGAACCTCTCTATTCCCATCTTTTTTGCGTCAGAAGTGACTTGAGAAACTGCAAGTCATTTCTGGTGTGAGAAATTTGGCTGTCTGCAGGGACGTTGCCCAAGGCATGCATGGATGTGTCACCATCCACTGAGAGGCTTCTCTCATGTCTCTGCATGAGAAGTTGGAGCTCACTCTGTCTTAAGGATTTTAAACACCAGCCTTCAGGTCAACAGTCTAGCTGGCACAACAGTATAACCCATAGAATCATGGAATAAAAGAGTTGGAAGAGACCTCATGGGCCATTCAGTCCAACCCCCTGCCAAGAAGCAGGAATATTGTATTCAAAGCACCCCTGACAGATGGCCATCCAGCCTCTGTTTAAAAGCCGCCAAAGAAGGAGCCTCCACCACACTCCGGGGCAGAGAGTTTCACTGCAAAACCGGCTCTAACAGTCAGGAAGTTCAGATGGAATCTCCTTTCTTGAAGCCATTGCTCCATTGCGTCCTTGTCTCCAGGGCAGCAGTAAACAAGCTTGCTCCTTCCTCCCTACGACTTCCTCTCACATATTTATACATGGCTATCATGTCTCCTCTCAGCCTCCTCTTCTTCAGGCTAAACATGCCCAGCTTTTTAAACCACTCCTCATAGGGCTTGTTCTCCAGGCCCTTGATCATTTTAGTTGCCCTCCTCTGGCCACTTTCCAGCTTGTCAATATCTCTCTTCAATGACGGTGCCCAGAATTGGACACGATATTCCAGTTGTTTTTTTTAGAGGGGTAGCATGACTTCCCTGGACCTAGACACTATGCTCCTATTGATGCAGGCCAAAATCCCATTGGTATTTTTACTCCACCCTTCTCATCCTCGAGGGAAGACTCAGGGCGGCCTCACAAAAGCATAATCGGATGCCGGCATCATAAAACAATCAACAATACATTAAAATATCAAAACAGTAATTAACCAGTTAATTAAAACACGTTTTTATTCCTGCTTCTTGGCAGGGGGTTGGACTGGATGGCCCATGAGGTCTCTTCCAACTCTATGATTCTATATGTTTGCTAAAATCATAATCCATAATCCAGAGTCCAGTCCAGGTCAAGTCATTGTCTTAAATCTTCTTTCATTTGCTGTTATTACTGGTTGAATGCTTGGTCCCATAGCCAGGTCTTAAGTTTCCTTCTGAAAGTCAGGAGGGAGGTAGCCAATCTGATGTCCTTGGGGAGGGAGTTCCACAGACGGGGGGCCACTGCAGAGAAGGCCCTGCCCCTCGTCCCCACCGATCATTTTTGCAATGGTGGTGGGATCGAGTGCAGGGCCTCTCTGTATGATCTTAAATTTTGTGATGGTTCATAACAGGAGATACGTTTGGACAGGTAGTCTGGGCCAGAACCACTGATGGAATTGAACCAAACTTGGCACACAGGACTCCCACAACCAGCAGAAAATCCTTGATGGGCATTGATTGTGAGTTTGGGATTTGTAGCTTACCTACATCCAGAGAGCACTGATGGATCTGGACCAAAATTGGTACGGATACTCAAATGTGAATACTGGTAGAAGTTTGGGGAAAATAGACCTTGGCATTTTGGGAGTTGTAGTTGCTGAAATCAAAGAGCATTCAGAACCCCACCAATGAGACAATTGGGCCAAACTTCCCACACAGAACCCCCATGACCAACAGAAAATACTTAAGGCCATCCAGTCCAACCCCCTTCACCAGGGCAGGGAAACGTAATCAAAGCCCTCCTGACAGAGAGCCATCCAGCCATAGATCTAGATAGGTATATATGATTCACACACACACACAGATAAAGTATTATAGATTTGAAAGGGACTCCTAAAGATGGACAATTATATGTTGCATGTTCTAGAGTAGGCAAACCAGAAAATCTCTACGTCAACATTGTCAAAAAAACACCAAGAAATACTGTTTACCCACAACTTCGCATAAAGACATTACATATATTAGAAACCAGCACTTTCGCATTACTTTATTTTCCATATCACCAGACTGAGCCACAGCAACGCGTGGCAGGGGACCGCTAGTCTATATATATAAAAATGCTCTGTGCATAATGAGTACCTTAAAAACAAAAACAAAAACTACGGGGCCAAATGACCCCAGATTTGGCAACAAAACTCCTCACAATCCAAGACGTGACCATCACTGAAGAAAACCCACAAAAACAGAAAGGAGACAAAGGAAGAAGTAGAGAAAGGGGGAGGGAACCAAAGAGTGAAAGAAGGAATGAAAGAAAGAGGTGGAGAAGGAAGAAAGGAGAGAAAGAGGAAGGGGAAGAAAAAGGGGGGAAGGAATAGGTAAGTGGCTCTCTTTCATAATTGTCCAGATATGTACCTCTACTTCGAAAATTCTTACTATAGGCCACAGCAACGCATGGCAGGGAACAGCTAGTTGCTTTATAGATTCATGAAGGGAACAACACCTTAATTTGTGTTGACATTAAGCGCTCAGATATTCCTTTTGGTTTTTTCATAGGCATGCATGAGAGATATTCCAACCTGCAAGTGGCTCGACCAGTGGACAGAACTTGCTCAAAAGTAAGTAGTGCCAGGTGGCATGTCAGTGTTACGGTTGGGATAAGATGTCTTTGGTGGTTTCCTTCCAGTCAGTGTTGTTTCAATCGACCACTTTCTTCCTCAACAGGTTTGCATTCCAGTATAATCCCTCCCTCCAACCGCGAGCCCTGGTTGTCTTTGGGTGTATCAGCAAGCGAGTGTCTCACGGTCAGATCAAGCAAATCATCCGGATTCTTAGCAAGGTGCATACCTTTTTTGTCATTCCTTCATTATTCTGTAAGTTTTGAATTTTGTTACTGGCAATGGTGAGCAGTTACACATTTCCATGTCTCTTCTGATAGATTTCTGAAGTCCCATTTACCTGCCAAGTTCTGTATAGAGAAGGCTTTCAGTCTCCGGCCCACTTCACATCCTTGGTAGCAATTTTATGTTTTGTTTTGTTATACTTTCAAACAAACTTCTGCTGGAAAAGCTCCCAGAATATCTTACATATGATCTTTTGGGAAAAGGAATGACCTTTTGAGATGATAACTTTTTGGAAAACCAGAATCTCCAAAGCCTTTTGAAAGCGTGATTAATTCTCCAAAAGGACCCAGACTCTGTGATTTTAATTGTTGTTTTAATATAATGTTTTAATTGGATGGTTTTAATGTTTTGTGTATACATTTGATGAAGTCCGTGTTCAGACTTGGTCCCAACTTCAAAATGTCTCATTATGTGCAAAATCTGGAGAAAATATCCAAAACACTTCTGGTCCAAAGCATTTTGGACAAGGGAGATGCAATTCATCCTGGTGAACCATAGCCAATTTAGGGACTTCTGCCCCAAAGTTTAAAGATGGTGCTCTTCTCCCCCCTTTGATGTTTTCCCTTCTGGTAACTGGCTTTGGTGCCACCATGTGGCTTGTTTGGGCAAATGTTGCATGGCATGCGTTTGTGTCTGTGGCCAGTTATTCCCCTCCACAGCATTTAGAAGCAGAGCTTGCTGTGGATTGGATTTGAGATAAAGGTTGCTGCCACCAACAAGTCTTTCCCCTGATATATCAAGTAGAAGGAAACAAGGAAGTCCCCCTTCCAAACTACCCTGCAGCATCATAACAAGTGCAGAGATATGAGGCTTCCACATTCTGGAACCCTGAAAATGTCACGGTGTCTAGGCCTAAGTGAGCGGATGCAGTGTAAACGATGAGGAAAATTAGAGGGAAGTCTGTGTCACATTTCCCCAGGATGCTGGACAGCTAACACATTGCATAACAACTCACAGTGTGATCATGTGCAAAATTTACATGGGAGTAGTATTTGTCAACTGAGTGAAAAAGACATATTGTTGTCATCTCATGGTCAGGAATCCTAGAAGGAATACACAGACACAGGGTGAGCTTAATGTCATGCACATGATGAGAAGATTTAGATGGAAATCTATGTCTTAGGCCACCAGGATGTTGGATAGCTAATACATTGCATAACAACCCACAGTGCAATCATGTGCAGACTTAGATGAGCGTAATATGTGTTGAAGCCGGTGTTACTTCTGTAAAAACATATAAAATCATTGACGTTTAATATGACTAATAGTTTATATCTTCTGATATACGTAAATTATAGATTCATTTGGTTTTATCTCTTCTTTTCCCTGTTTGGAAGTGGGGAAAGGGACCACATTTTCCTCTTCCAAGCTGAACGCTGATTTCCCTTTATCGACCACAGGGTCTTGAGAGCTGCTTGAAAGGCCCCGATAACTACAACAGCCAAGTCCTCATTGAAGCCACAGTGATAGCACTCACCAAACTCCAGCCGCTCCTCAATAAGGTGAATGTTGTATGTCAGCCTGTGATTGTGTCTGATGTTAATGTCGATATTCATGATGGGAGTGATGTTCATGTTGATGTTCATGGTTGGAATGGGGGTGATGTTCCTGACAGTGGGCCTGGGGATGAGCGTTTGCTTGGGCCTGAGTTAAGTTCAGAAAAAAGGCCTGACCTGTCTCAAGAAGATTCACAAGGCCACATTCTTGTGAAAGGCCCTTTGCTGCTTTTCTCAGAACAACTGTCTGATCATGATTTGTCAGGTGCAGAAGTTAATGAAGGAGATGATAATGATAATGGCCCAGAAGGTAGAAGAGGCAACAAGGGGATTGGCTACTCTTGATCTCATCCTAACAAATGCGGAGGACCTGATCAATGCAGTTGAAGTGGTAGGATCCTTAGGGGCAAGTGACCATGTGCTCCTGAAATTTGAGGTACAAAGGAAGGCCGAAACTAAGACAAGTCAAACTTGCATTTTGGACTTTAGGAGAGCTGATTTCCGAAAAATGAAGGAAACACTGAGCAGCATTCCGTGCACACAGATACTAAAAGACAAGGGAGTTACGGATGGATGGGAATTTCTCAAGAGTGAAATACTCAAGGCGCAATTGCAAACTGTGCCAACAAAGAGAAAAAATAGGACAAGTGCAAAGAAGCCAGAATGGATGTCCAAAGAACTTCTAACTGTGCTAAGACACAAAAGAGACATGCACAAGAAGTGGAAAAAGGGAGAAATCACCAAAGAAGAATTCAAACAAATAGCCAACACCTGTAGGGAAAAGGTCCGCAAGGCTAAAGCACAAAACGAGCTCAGGCTTGCCAGGGACATTAAAAACAATAAAAAGGGCTTCTTTTCTTATGTCAGTAGAAAAAGGAAAAACAAGGAGGCGATAGGGCCTCTTCGAGGAGAAGATGGGGCAATGCTGACAGGGGATAGGGAAAAGGCAGAACTACTTAATGCCTTCTTTGCCTCGGTCTTCTCACAAAACAGAGAGTCTTCAACCTCAGCAAGATGGAGTGGATGAGGGATTGGAGGACATCCAACCCCAAATTGGGAAAGAAGTCGTCCAGGAATACCTGGCCGCTCTTAATGAGTTCAAGTCCCCAGGGCCAGATCAACTACACCCCAGAGTATTGAAGGAACTAGCGGAAGTCATTTCGGAACCATTGGCAACCATCTTTGAGAGTTCTTGGAGAACGGGAGAAGTTCCAGCAGATTGGAGGAGGGCCAATGTGGTCCCAATCTTCAAGAAGGGAAAAAAGGATGACCCAAACAACTACGTCCGGTCAGCCTCACGTCGATACCAGGCAAGATTCTGGAAAAGATTGTTAAGGAAGTGGTCTGCAAACACTTAGAAACAAATGCGGTCATCGCTAATAGTCAACATGGATTTATCAAAAACAAGTCATGCCAGACTAATCTGATCTCTTTTTTTCGATAGAGTTACAAGCTGGGTAGATGAGGGGAATGCCGTGGATGTAGCGTACCTGGATTTCAGTAAGGCCTTCGACAAGGTCCCCCATGACCTTCTGGCAAGGAAACTAGTCCAATGTGGGCTAGGCAAAACTACGGTGAGGTGGATCTGTAATTGGTTAAATGGACGAACCCAGAGGGTGCTCACCAATGCTTCCTCTTCATCCTGGAAAGAAGTGACGAGTGGAGTGCCGCAGGGTTCCGTCCTGGGCCCGGTCCTGTTCAACATCTTTATTAATGACTTAGATGAAGGGCTAGAAGGCATGATCATCAAGTTTGCAGATGACACCAAATTGGGAGGGAGAGCCAATACTCCAGAGGACAGGAGCAGGATTCAAAACGATCTTGACAGATTAGAGAGATGGGCCAAAACTAACAAAATGAAGTTCAACAGTGACAAATGCAAGATACTCCACTTTGGCAGGAAAAACTAAATGCAAAGATACAGAATGGGGGACGCCTGGCTTGAGAGCAGTACGTGTGAAAAAGATCTTGGAGTCCTCATGGACAACAAGTTAAACATGAGCCAACAGTGTGATATGGTGGCAAAAAAAGCCAATGGGATTTTGGCCTGCATCAATAGGAGGAGAGTATCTAGATCCAGGGAAGTAATGCTACCACTCTATTCCGCTTTGGTTAGACCACACCTGGAATATTGTGTCCAATTCTGGGCACCACAATTCAAGAGAGATATTGACAAGCTGGAATGTGTCCAGAGGAGGGCGACTCAAATGATCAAGGGTCTGGAGAACAAGCCCTATGAGGAGCGGCTTAAGGAGCTGGACATGTTTAGCCTGAAGAAGAGAAGGCTGAGAGGAGATACGATAGCCATGTATAAATATGTGAGAGGGAGCAAGCTTGTTTTCTGCTTCCTTGGAGACTAGGACGCGAAACAATGACTTCAAACTTCAACAGAGGAGATTCCATCTGAACATTAGGAAGAACTTCCTGACTGTGAGAGCCGTTCAGCAGTGGAACTCTCTGCCCCGGAGTGTGGTGGAGGCTCCTTCTTTGGAAGCTTTTAAACAGAGGCTGGATGGCCATCTGTCAGGGGTGATTTGAATGCAATATTCCTGCTTCTTAGCAGGGGGTTGGACTGGATGGCCCACGAGGTCTCTTCCAACTCTTTGATTCTATGATTCTATGCTTGGACAGAATGCAAAGTTTTAGTAAATAGAGGCAAAGTCTTCAGAGGCTGAGAGGATCAGTGTGGCAACAACAAAAGAGATAACAAACCTTTATCTGGTGGGAAGGTAAACAAAAATGCTTTCCTTTCAGTTTTGGGATTTGAGAAAAATTTATAATGATTCATGGGAGAGAGTTGCCTCAGCTGGGTCAACGTTGTTATTTTATCATGGTCTTGCTTTCAAGTGCTCTGAGTTTCTTGTACCAAGTTTTTGCCAAGTTCAAGATTTGTCTATGAAATTTTCTTGCTCTCTTGTTTCATGGAATCAAGTGCCTAGTTTCATGGATTTTATATACTCATGTTTCTTGCTTTCCTTTGAATCTTAAGGACTAATATTTATATTGGATCGTTATTAGTTTCGCTATTTTTACTGCTTTGTTTACATATAATCTGCAATAAACTGCTTGATGATTTTACAAAGCTGATGTGGTGTTTAAGGTCAGAGGTGTTTTTGCTCTGGAGTATGACAGTGAACTCCCGTGGTTCCTTGCATCTTGCCTTGTAGTGCCTTGTAGGTTAGGAGAAGTTGACTGCGCAAGACGAAATGCTTTATTTGTGTCCTCGGAACAAAGAGGCCCAGTACCTCTTTGTTCCGAGGACACCAATAAAGCAGTTCTTCTTCTTCTTCCCTTTCTATCTAAGCATCTTTCTATCTTTGTCATGGAGTTTTGCATTCAGGTTTAAGCTTTCTGTTGTTTCTCCTTCCCCCCAGGACTCGCCTATGCACAAGGCCCTCTTCTGGGTTGCTATGGCTGTTTTGCAGCTGGATGAAGTCAATCTGTATTCGGCGGGCACGGCTCTCCTTGAACAGAATCTCCATACACTAGACAACCTTCGAGTATTCAACGACAAAGTAAGCAAGATGGGAAAACTGTTGCAGCATGCTTATCTCTCAGTCAGAAGGAGGTGGTTTTTCAGTATGGCACCTTCAATCCTTACACATTTTAGAAAATTGAAAGGTAATCTCCCCAATTAGATAGATGCCTCTTTACTGAATCAATGGAAGGTAAAGCTTGGCTGTATTAAGCACCGAAGCCCTGCCAAAGCCTTAAGGATGTCCCTCAATGTAATAGCTTTCAATCCTCTCCCTGCCAAATCCCAGAATCTGTATTTTGGCTTTCTTGACAGAGCCCTGAAGAAGTCTTCATGGAGATCAGACGGCCACTGGAATGGCACTGCAAGCAGATGGACCACTTTGTGGGACTCAATTTCAACTCTAACTTCAACTTTGCACTTGTGGGGCATCTGCTGAAAGGTAGAGGAATCAGACATGCCTCTATGTCGGGGGTGATTTTTTTTTTTTTTTTGCTCATTTAATACTGCTCTTGGAGTAGATGGAAGCAATAGTACAGTTGGCATCAGGGTTTGTGCCAGTGTATCCTGTGTGAGTAGTTGATCAAAGTTTGGAAACTGTCTGTAGGCCAATAAAGCCTTGCCTGCCAGAGCTTGTGAGAGCGTGATGTTGTTGTCCAGAATTTTTTGTTGATTGTTCACCATGTTTTGAGTGGTCTCAAGTGGGGCCTGTAGGTGACCATATAACCCTTATAGGTTATCATTTTGTGTTTTTGGTCTGTCTTGTAGTAAATGATTCCCAGGTATTAATCTTGCCATGTTAGACACAAAATGACTAATGATACACTACTATTCATGACAAAGTTCTTAATCCTGATCCTATTACTTTTTTAGTTTCATGGAGATGTTACATTGTGGTGCATTCAAAGTAGTAATCATGCCCATTCTTGGCATCTGATTGTCCAGCAAAACCAAGCTCCAGATAAAGCTTTGGCCACTTTTTGCCGTGCTCTGACTAATCCACAACTGACTGAACTCCTGTTGCACCCCAACCAGAGTTTACCTTGCCCTTAGCACCAACCAGGAATCCAAAAGCTATATTATTATTATTATTATTATTAAACTTTATTTGTACCCCGCTAGCATCTCCCGAAGGATTCGATGCGGCTTACACAGGCCGAGGCCTCAACACACAACACAACAGTACAATCTAAGCAAATCAAACAATTAAAAACAGAATAAAGCAAAATAAACAACAGGCACAATACACTAAAACACAATAAAACTGGGCCGGGCCAGAGAATGGGTACAAGATTAAAAGTGCTGATGTGACAGGAGGTGTATATAGGGCTTCTAGGGCAAGTGCGATGTGCGATGTGCAGCAATCATTGGTTCTGATAAAGTGCTTATGGGACTTGGTAGTGGAGATTTCCTAATCTGGGAAGGCACATCGGAACAGCCAGGTCTTCAGGTTCTTTCTGAAGACTGCCAATGTAGGGGCCTGTCTAAGATCTTTGGGGAGGGTGTTCCAGAGTCGGGGGGCCACCACGGAAAAGGCCCTGTCCCGTGTCCCCACCAAGCGCGCTTGCGACGCCGGTGGGATCACGAGCAGGGCCTCTCCAAATGACCGAAGTGAACGTGTGGGTTCATAGATGGAAATGCGGTCACGCAGTAAAACAGTCTATTTGTAAAAGTACATATAAAAGGGGGGAAATCACTAAAAGAAGTAAGAAAAGCAAAATACAACAGGTAATTATAAAAAGTAGTCAATAAGTAAAAAGCCCAACCCAAATGGTAAGAAGTAAACATTTCAGAGGCAATAATCCATAGGTACATACATTGTGCTGGCCAATGACCAAAATAAATGGTTTGATTTGATTTTATTCATAGGTACATAAAAACAAGAGTCATAACATGAGCATGGATCCAGAAAACAAGAATCAAAACATGAACACGAATCCAGAACCAAAACCAAAACTCCCAAGACTTTAGGCTAGAACCATGAACTGGAGGAGGACTCGATATCCTCACAGCTTCGCAGTGTTGCCTGATCTGAATTCCCAAAGTGACACTCTCTACTTTAAAGGACTGCAAAACATCAAGTCATTTCTTTGACTTGGCTTTCCAGCTTGTGAAATTGTCTCTGCACTTCCTTCTCACGAAGCCTCCTTGATTTCCTGAGCTTGATGTTTTTCTCCCTAAGATCGAGCCTGATATCCCTGTCTAGGACAGCTGTTCCCTCAGATAATAATAAATAATATTAATAATAATAAAACTTTATTTATATACCGCTCCATCTTCCCAAGAGGACTCAGAGCGGTTCCCAGGTAACATCACAAAACATACAAAGCAAAAAACAACATAACCATAAGATTAACAAAACAAAATATACGCATAAAAATTGTCACCATAGCACACATATATTAAAAGAATCCTACCTGTTCGAGGCAATTAAAAATTTTAAAAGGCCGGGCCAAGATTTGTGCAAGCCCAAAAATTCTAGGGGGCCCAGGAATTAAGTGCAGTGCTGTGGCAGGCAACAATAATATTAGGTATGGGTCTGTGGCTGTTCATTCTGGGGCCGATTAGAGGAAGTGATCTGGGTAAATGGTAGGAAGAATAAGGCCATATTCAACAATGTGTAGGGCTGAGTTAGAACTGGTCATTTTCAAAGGCTTGTTGAAACCACCAGGTCTTCAAGCTCTTACGAAAGGAGGGGAGGGATGGGGCCTGTCTTATTTCCCTTGGAAGGGCGTTTCAGAGGCGGGGAGCCACCACCGAGAAGGCCCTCTCTCTTGTCCCCACTTGAGACGGTAGTGGGACCGAGAGGAGGGCCTCCCCTTTCCTTTCCTTTCCTTTCCCATCCTTTCCTTTCAGATAACGTTCTGCATAATGCAATGTATATTTCTGTAGGCTACCGGCACCCCTCTGCAACCATTGCAGCACGGACCATAAGGATCCTGCACACGCTCCTCTCTCTGGTTAACAAACACAGGAACTGTGACAAGTTTGAGGTGAATACCCAGAGTGTGGCTTACCTTGCAGGTAAAAAAACCCAATCTCTTTGGCTTGTATCCAATCCAGGCTTCTTTGTGTGTAAGATTCTTGTCTCAAAAAATGTGAATTGCAAAAAGAGAAATCTGGTGCAGTGCAGAGCTTCCGTGGCTGAGCAAGGGGAAGACTAGGGGTCAACGTGGAGTATCCCCTGGCCTAATTTGATATCGTTATATGGATAAAACTAGCTGTATCCACCACGCTTTGCTGTGACCAGCCTTCTCTCCTTCTTTCCCTCCTTCCTTCGCTCCCTCTTTCCTTCCTTCATTCCCTTTTCTTCTTTGCTTCTCTCCTTCCTTCCTTCCTTCCTTCTCTATCTCTTTCCTTCCCTCCCCCTTTTTTCTTTTCCTTCCTCTTTCTCTCCTTTCTTCCTTCTCTACCTCTTTCCTTCCTTCCTTAGCTTTTTGCTTCCATCCTTCCTTCCTTCTCTTTCCTTCGTTCCTTCCCTCCCTCTTTCTCTCCTTCTTTCTCTTCTTCCTTCACTCCCTCTTCTTTCCCTTTTTTTCTTTCCTTCTCGCCTTCCTTCCTTTCTTCTCTACCTCTCCCTCCCCTCTTTTCCTTTTCCTTCCTCTTTCTCTCCTTTCTTGTATTGATGTATTGTCATTGTTGTTATTTTGCTTAATTGTTTGATTTGCTTTGTTTATTGTTGTGTTATGTTTTCTATTGTATTGTGTTTTGAGGCTTCGGCCCATGTAAGCCGCATCGAGTCCTTCGGGAGATGCTAGCGGGGTACAAATAAAATTAATAATAATAAATAATAATAATTTCTTCCTTCTCTACCTCTTTCCTTCCTTCGGTCTTCGCTTCCATCCTTCCTTCTTTCCTTCCCTCCCTCTTTCTCTCCTTCTTTCCTTCCTTTGCTCCCTCTTTCCTTCTTTCCCTTTTTTTCTTTCCTTCTCTCCTTCCTTCCTTCTCTACTTCTTTCCTTCCTCCCCGCTTTTCTTTTCCTTCCTCTTCCTCTTTCTTCCTTCTCTACCTCTTTTCCTTCCTTCCTTAGCTTTTTGCTTCCATTCTTCCTTCTCTTTCCTTCTTTCCTTCCTTCCCTCTTTCTCTCCTTTTTTCCCTTCTTCCTTCACTCCCTCTTTCTCTCTTTCCCTTTTTTCTTTCCTTCTCTCCTTCCTTCCTTCTCTACCTCTTTCCTTCCTCCCCTCTTTTTCTTTTCCTTTCTCTTTCTTCCTACTCTACCTCTTTCCTCCTTCCCTTTTTTTTCCTTCCTCTTTTTTTCTTCCTTCTCTTTTTCTTTCCTTCCCTCCCTATTTCTCTCCTTTTTTTTCTTCCTTTCCTCCCTCTTTCTCTCTTTCCTTTTTTCTTTCCTTCTCTCCTCCTTCCTTCTCTACCTCTTTCCCTCTCCCTCTTTTTCTTTTCCTCTTTCTCTTTCTTCCTTCTCTACCTCTACCCCTTCCTTCGGTCTTCGCTTCTATCTTTCCTTCCCTCCCTCTTTCTCTCCTTCTTTCCCTCCTTCCTTGCTCCCTCTTTCCTTCTTTCCATTTTTTTCTTTCCTTCTTTCCTTCCTTCCTTCTCTACCTCTTTCCTTTCTCCCCCCCCCTTTTTTTCTTTTCCTTCCTCTTTCTCTCCTTTCTTCCTTCTCTACCTCTTTCCTTCCTTTGGTCTTCGCTTCCATGCTTCCTTCTTTCTTTCTCCTCTTCCTTCCTTTTCTCTTCCCTTTTTTGGTATCGTCATTTAGCTTTTGGGAGGTTTTTGGGAGGGGGGAGTATGAGTGATGGTCACTCATTGGTCTGTTAGGGGTATAGTGTCCAAATTTCGTGTCAATTCATCTAGTGGTTTTGGAGTTATGTTAATCCCACAAACGAACATTACATTTTTATTTATATAGATGAGGGCATAAATAATGTAAACATGATAGAATGGAAGACGAGTTCATCTCTGGCGACTCCTTTCGGGATTTGTTCCTCTCTTTGTTTAAAAGTAATTTGGGTGCATTGTTCAAGAAACGATCTAAACCTGTTAGTGACATACATAACACATATTTGAATTGGTTCCATTCAATCCTGGGTAGTGACATATTCATTTTTATCTTTTTGGATCAGATGCTGGGGATTATTCTCTAGCCCTTTGTGGTCCATCTGGACAAAGGGAATGAGATGGAGATGATCAATATAGGATCTTAACCAGAGGCTTCCCTTTTGGAAAGTCTGGATCACTGTGTTGTCATGTTTCTAGATATTCTCATTAAAATCTCTTAGGGCAGCATTTCTCAAACTGGGGGTCAGGTCATGAGGGAGTGTCAGAGGGGTCACCAAAGATCTTCAGAGAATACATATTTCTGATGGTCTTAGCAACTTGACAGAGAAAGCTGAAGATCTCTCTGCCTAGCCTTCTCTTCCTTTTTGGAAACAGAGGCAAATCCTCCCACCAAAAGTCCCCTTTCACTGTAATTGACCGGCCTGTCAGCCAAGGGGAGGGCTGTTTTTGGGACTCCAAGCAGGGAGGGGAGAGCAGGCGTGCTCAGCGCATGGCAGCGTGGTGCGCATGTGCAGGCGAGGGAGAGCGCGCGAGGCTGGAAGGAGGCTCACATAAGTGAGCTCCCTCAAGGCAGGGGGGAAGTGCCCACATGACGTGGGACTGAGCGTGGCCCAGCAGCATCAGGAGAAGGAGCAGTAGCAGAAACCGCTTAGGAGAAGGAGCAGTAGCAGAAGCACCGGGATTGTGGCGCAGCTGGCTGAGTGTCAGCTGCATTAAGATCACTCTGACCAAAAAGGTCATGAGCATGCCCGGGTTGGAGTGGGTTTCCAACCAATTGTGTGTAGCCTGTTGTCGACCTTTGCAACCCGAAAGACAGTTGCATCTGTCAAGTAGGAAAATAAGGTACCACCTTAAGGTGTGGGGAGGCTAAATTAACTGATTTATGAGGCCATAAAGAAGACTCCAGCAAAGCATTCCAGCGGGGAAGCATGCAGGGAATGCGGAAGTGCTTTATCAGCGTCGCAGATGGACGATGAAAGCGATAGCTCCCCTGGCGGCCAGAAAAAGTTAAATAGCCTCTGTCTGTATATGTTTGTATGTCAAAAATTGCCATTGAATGTTTGCCATATATGTGTACACTGTAATCCGCCCTGAGTCCCCTGCGGAGTGAAAAGGGCGGAATACAAAAGCTGTAAATAAATAAATAAGGTAATTTGTAACTATTTATTAGAAAAAAGTCAGTCTTTACTATTGTTTTTTTAATTAATGCTCCTCTTAGAAAACGCATAACGGTGTGGACAAACTACAACTCCCAAAATCATGGGCCAATCCTCCCCAAATCCCACCAGTATTCATAGTTGACCATGTTGGGTTTGTGAGCCAAGTTTGGTCCAGATCTGTCATCAGCTCAGTTCAGTTCTCTTTGGATGCTGCTGAACTACAACTCCCATATGCCAAGATCAATAACCCCCGTCCCCTGTATTCAGAATGCTCTTTGATTTTAGGCAAACTATAAATCCCAGCAACTACAATTCCCAATGTCAAGGTCGATTTTCCTCAAACTCCACCAGTGTTCACATTTGGGCATATTGAGTATTCATGCCAAGTTTGGTCCTGATCACAATTGTTTGAGTCCACAGTGCTCTCTGGAAGTCGGTGAACTACAACTCCAAAACTCAAGGTCAATGCCCACCAAACCCTTCCAGTATTTTCTGTTGGTCATGGGAGTTTTGTGTGCCAAGTTTGGTTCAATTCCATCATTGATGGAGTTCAGAATGATCTTTGATTGTAGGTGAACTACAACTCCCAAATGACAAAATCAATCCCCTCTAACCTCACCAGTATTCAAATGTGGGAGTATCGGGCATTTGTGCCAAATTTGGTTCAGTGAATGACAATGACAATACATCCTGCATATCAGATATTTGCATAACGGTTCATAACAGTATCAAAATGAAGTACAACCAAAATAATGTTATGGTTGGGGGTCACCACAACATGAGGAAGTGTACTAAGAGTTTGCGGCATTAGGAAGTTTGAGAAACACTGTCTTACGGCAATTCCACATTTCTCACCCCTTCCAGCACTAAGCTTGTTCTTACATTACAGTCAAGTGTTTACATTTTCATACCATTTGAAACCTATCTCAGATAGGTTCATCTCAGCCTTGGAGTTCTCACCTATGTATTTTTAAACCTTTTTTGGTGCCTTCGGGACTAGAAACACTTTCCCCCCAAAGGCGGCATATGAATCTCATGGCATCCAGCCTCTGTGATTTCACTGTAGACTTACAACATAAATACATGAAGTCCTGCCTGCGAGACGCTGTTGTGATGTGTTGACACACTTTTTTGCTCCTTTTTGTCCATGCAGCCTTACTGACGGTATCTGAGGAGGTTCGGAGTCGATGCAGCCTCAAGCATAGGAAATCCCTCCTGCTGACAGATATTTCAATGGAGAATGTTCCCATGGAGACATACCCCATACATCACAGTGACACCAGCTGTAGGTCAGTCTGTGTTTTAATATTTTGCCCATTTTATGTAATCTTTACTTAGAATCCCGTATCTAGCTGGGGAGAAGCTGGTATATACATAGGGAAAATCTGTAATAGAAAGAGGTCATAACAAAGAACAAGGGTTGCTTATGTTTCTCCTTTCTTCCAGGACACTAAGAGAAAACCAGCCCTGGTCTTCCCCCAAAAGCTCTGACCGACACCTGGCTGCTAATTACCCGACTGTGGGGCAGATCAGTCCGCGCACAAGGAAGTCCATGAGCCTGGACATGGGGCAGCCTTCTCAAGCCAACACTAAAAAGCTATTAGGTGAGCGCACAATATCACCTACCTCTTCCTCACCAGAGGAGGGCGACTAAAATGATCAAGGGTCTGGAGAACAAGCCCTATAAGGAATGGCTTAAAGAGCTAGGCATGTTTAGCCTGAAGAAGAGAAGGCTGAGAGGAGATATGATAGCCATGTATAAATATGTGAGAGCAAGTCACAGGGAGGAGGGAGCAAGCTTGTTTTCTTCTTCCTTGGAGACTAGGACACGGAACAATGGCTTCAAACTACAAGAAAGAAAATTCCATCTGAACATGAGAACATGAGAAAGAACTTCCTGACTGTGAGAGCTGTTCAGCAGTGTGGTGGAGGCTCCTTCTTTGGAAGCTTTTGAACAGAGGCTTGATGGCCATCTGTCAGGGGTGATTTGAATGCAATATTCCTGCTTCTTGGCAGGGGGTTGGACTGGATGGCCCATGAGGTCTCTTCCAACTCTATGATTCTATGATTCCATTATTAAGACAAGGCCAGGGCTAATGTTCTTATTAATTTTGGGTCTGCACCCCGTGCACTGCCAGTAAATTTCCACAGGATGTTATTGAGTGCAGCTACTTTGTGCTTGTTGTTCACACAGTGTTTCCTTAAATGTTAGTGTTTGATCTGAGATGATGCCGAGATATTTAGGGTAGGAACAGTATTCGAGCTCTTCCCAGGTAACCTTCAATTTCCTGTTGGCTTCACGATTACGTAGCTGGAAAGCACACACTTGTGTCTTGGCAGGGTTAGGCTTCGGATGGTTATCTTTGCAGTAGCTGGAGAGATCTTTCAGATCATTAGTAATTTGGTTTTCCACTGTTTCAAAGTCTTTTGCTTGTGTTGTTAGGCCAAGGTCATCAGCATATATAAAACTCTTTGTGAGTGGGGGCTATAACTGATTCTTTTAAGCAAGCTCGGTACAAGAACGCTGCCTGGAGGTAGACCATTCTTTTGCCACCTCCATCTACTTTTCCTGCCCTGAAAACTTGCCCTAGGGATTCCCAGATTGCTTTAGGCGAGGTTCAGCATATCTCTGTCTTACTGCATCCCAATCTCAGGTCCTGATTTTGTTTTAACAGGTACAAGAAAGAGTTTTGATCACTTGATATCTGACACGAAAGCACCTAAAAGACAAGAAATGGAATCGGGTATCACCACGCCTCCCAAAATGAGGAGAGTAGCAGAAAATGATTACGAAATGGGTAATAATTCAAGCTTATTGATCTTGTTACTGAGCCCCTTTCGGGAGATAGGGCCACCTATACATTAAAGGTTTTTTATCATGTCAGAAGCAACTTGAAAAACTTCAAGTTACTTCTGTTGTGAGAGAATTGGCCATCTGCAGAGACGTTCTCCAGGGTATGTCTGGATGTCTTACCATCGTGTGGGAGGCTTCTCTCATGTCCCCATATAGGAAGCTGGAGCTGACAGATGGGAGCTCACCCCACATCGCAAATTCAAACCACTGACCTTCACATCAGCAGTTCAGCCAGCACAAGGGTTTAACTCAATGCATATTATTATTATTATTATTATTATTATTATTATTATTATTATTATTATTATTCTGTCACAAAAACACAGTATGACACAACAAATATGCTGGATTTCGTATCACAAAATCACAAGTCGAACACTTCCCAAGCGTCTAGGACTGTGTGATGTATTATTATTATTATTATTATTATTATTATTATTATTATTGTTATTGTTATTGTTATTATTATTATTTTACTAACACAAAAATACAGTATGACACAGCAAATGAGATCTGTATGCTGTATTTCGTATCACAAAATCACAAGTCGAGCGCTTCCCAAGCGTCTAGGACTGTGTGATGTATTATTATTATTATTATTATTATTATTATTATTATTTTGATTATTTTACTGACACAAAAACACAGTATGACACAGCAAATGAGACCTATATGCTGGATTTCATATCACAAAATCAGAAGTCGAACACTTCCCAAAAATCTAGGACTGTGTGATGTATTATTATTACTATTATTATTATTATTATTATTATTATTTTACTGACACAAAAACACAGTATGACACAACAAACGAGATCTCTATGCTGGATTTCGTATCACAAAATCACAAGTCAAACACTTCCCAAGCGTTTAGGACTGTGTGATTTATTATTATTATTATTATTATTATTATTATTATTATTATTATTATTTTACTGACACAAAAACACAGTATGACACAACAAACGAGATCTGTATGCTGGATTTCATATCACAAAATCACCAGTCGAGCACTTCCCAAGCGTTTAGGACTGTGCGATTTATTATTATTATTATTATTATTATTATTATTATTATTATTATTATTATTATTTTACTGACACAAAAACACAGTATGACACACCAAATGAGATCTATATGCTGGATTTCGTATCACAAAATCACAAGTCGAACACTTCCCAAGCGTCTAGGACTGTGTAATGTATTTTCGAATAATGCGCGCAGATCCAAGTCAGGTGGCCTTTTGCAGTTGACAGATTGTGATTTGTCAATGTTTATTGTTTCCAAATGCCGGCTGAGATCTTTTGGCACGGCACCCAGTGTGCCAATGACTCCTGGGACCACCTGGACTGGTTTATGCCAGAGCCTTTGCAGTTCGATTTTGAGGTCTTGTTAATGGCTGAGTTTTTCCTGTTGTTTTTCCTCAATGCGACTGTCACCTGGTATGGTGACATCAATAATCCAAACTTTTTTCTTTTCCACAATTGTGATGCCTGGTGTATTTTGTTCCAGAACTTTTGTCAGTCTGGATTCGAAAGTCCCGCAGTATTTTTGCGTGTTCTTTTTCCACAACCTTTGCAGGTTCATTTTCCATTACTGTGCAATTCTTTACTGCTGGTAGGTGGTACTTGTGACATAAGTTCCAGTGAATCATTTGGGCCACAGAGTTGTACCTCTGTTTGTAGTCTGTCTGTGCGATTTTCTTGCAACAGCTGAGGATATGATCTATGGTTTCATCAGCTTCCTTACACAGTCTGCATTTTGGGTCATCAGCTGATTTTTCAATCCTGGAAAATTATTATTATTAAAATTAATATAAAATTATTATTATTATTATTATTATTATTATTATTATTATATTTGAAGTCAACATCAAACATAATAAAAGGGATTGATCAATGAGCCTTAATATCCACAGTTGAGTTTGAACCCAACCCTTTCTGGGTACCTGTTTTGCAAGCTCTGGAACTATTTTTTTTTCTTTTGGTTGCATAACGAATAAACCTGCTGTTCCTCCTTGCCCTCTTTCTTCAGTATTATCTGTCCATCCCTCCTTCCTCCCTGCAGATACGCAACGGATATCACCCCAGCAGCACCCGCACCTCCGGAAAGTCTCGGTATCCGAGTCCAATGTCCTCCTTGACGAAGAAGTCCTTACGGATCCCAAAATCCAAGCCCTGCTGCTCACCGTCCTTGTAGGTGTCCCTTTTCTCTTGTGCAAAAAGGAAAGTAACATGTTTAGTGTGATGTGAGGGGGTAAGAGAGGAGATACCTTTTGTTTAATATCTAAATGGGTTTAGATATTGATGAAAGATGAATACAAAATAGAGGAAAACATTCAAAAGTAAAAAGTCACAGTAAAAATCAGCAACAAGAAATGTCCATAAACAAGATAATAAAATCCACAGCAAAACTGCTGAATCCTGGAACCTGTTAGCAATCCACTAACTGTACTTGGAACAACTAGAAAACCTCCAAGGAACAAGGCCATTTGAATCAGGAGACCTGCAAAAGCTTGCACATGAATCTGGAACGATGCCTGGTCTGAAGCTGCATTCAGGCCAGGCATACTTAAGGCCGAGAAATCTATTGCGAGGCACGCCTGACGTTTTTGTTTGCATTTCTCTCAATCTGGCTGACCTACGTAAACTTTGTGCTTCTCCCCACCTCTGCCAAATCTGCCCCCACCTATCCTCATTAGGCAGACCAGGTGTCAGATTCTCTGGAGAACTAAGGCTGGGAGGAAAAGGGAGTGAAACTTCTCCGTTCGGCTTGGAATGCATGTTCTCATGGGAATTTTGACTTTCGCTTTCCAAGGCTGTAGGATCTTCACTACTCAAACCATTATCATCTAAATTCACATTGACATCTACATTGGCATCAGGGAATACAATCAGAGAATCAGGTTCAGGTTCACACACAGACTGAATCCCAACAGTACAAGGGTTGAATGAAAAGTAATGCCTCCAACTTGGCAACTCCTCAATAGATGGCAGTACTGGTATGCGGCAGGTACTGGCTTATTCAGTAGACTCTCCTCTACAATTCCGTTTGGGTGGGAAACCTTAGCATTGAACGGTTGTGTTGTTAAAGTGCGAAGTATGGAACCCTGTGCAGATGGTTGGTCAATGCAACTTAAGCAACGTACAGTCATTGAATTCTTGACAGCAGAAGGTGTCACCTCAACATCTTTAAACTTACTCGCCCAATGACACATAGTACTCACATCAACATAATCACCATAAACAGCTTGCATTCTCTGATGAATCTCTTTTCGGGTGATATAGGAAATTGATGATTGACAATGGAATCGGAGACGCCAATGATGTTTTTTATTGCCGTTATGGTTTATGTAATTGTAATGTTTTTAAATTGTAATGTGATACTATGTATACTGTTTTGTTGGAAACTGCCTTGAGTCGCTGATAGGCTGAGAAAGGCGGTATACAAATACAGTAAATAAATAAAATAAATAAATTCTGAAGTCAATGACTGAACGTTGCTTAAGTTGCATTGACCAACTGTCTGCGCAGAGTTCCACACTTCTCACTTTAACAACACAACCATTCAATGCTAAGGCTTCCCGCCAAAATGCAACTGTAGAGGAGAGTCTACTGAACAAGCCAGTACCTGCCACACACCAATACTGCCATCTGTTGAGGAGTTACAAAAGTGGAGGGAATGTATGCAGTACTACAGGAAGGAGCAGGGAATGTACTTGAGACCAGGGATGAGAATGGTTGGACTACAGTACCCATCAGTCCTTTTAGTATTGAAGAAGGCTGAGAGCTCAGGTTCAACAACATTTTGAGGTCTGCTTGAATTCCTACCCTTAACTTCGATGTATGGGTGAAAGTATCAAAGAGCTGTTTTTCCGTATTGCTACGTGGGAGTGATTCCTTGAAGTAGAGGGAACAGTGCCATTATGATCTTGCCAAGAGAGTGCTGCAATGCCTTCAAAGCACGTTCCCATTGTGTTGTCTTTGCTTGAAGGTATCTATTTTAAGCTAACCCTAGAATAACATAGAACTGCTCCAGTAAAAAGAAAGAAAGATCTGTGCCATGTTTTATAGTACCTTAACAAACAGGAGACTAACTGCAACATATACTTCCACCCAGTTCATCTGTCTCAGTGGTTGCCAAGCTTTTTTTGACAGAGGACCACCTGAACAGATACCACTTTGAACAGCAACCACTCTTACCAGGGACCACTCTCCAACATTACTGCCAAAAGGGTTACAAATCTGCTTTTGATCAACTTTAGATTCAGTTTGGTTATTTGGGGTTGTGATTCAGAAAATTGCATTGGATAGCCCACATCAGCTCTAGTTTCCGATACAGAACATATGCCATCCAGTAGTCGCCATCTGTTCACCCACAGAAAACCATATTTACCATATATACTCAAGTATAACCTGACCCGAATATAAGCTGAGACACCAAATTTTACCACAAAAAACTAGGAAAACGTATTGACTCGCGTATAAGCTGAGGGTGGGAAATGCAGCAGCTACTGGTAAATTTCAAAATAAAAATAAATACCAATAAAATTACATTAATTGAGGCATCTGTTGCTAAATGTTTTTGGATATTTACATACAACTGTAATTTAAGATAAAACTGCCCAACTCCGATTAAACCATTATTCTAAGGTTCAATGTAAATGTGCTTGCATATCCTTAAATGAAAATAAATAGAGGAAATGTAATGGAAATGTAATAACAGTAATAGAGGAAAATAATAAATGTAATAATAACAATAATAAATAGAGTGAAATAATATATGTAATAATAACAACAATAATAAAGTAAAATGATCAATGTAATAATCATAATCATAATACATTTATTATGTATTTCTAACAGGGTAAAATAATAAATAACTGATTTGAGTGTAGTGGGTTGTAGGTTTTTTTGGGCTCTATGGCCATGGTCTAGAGGCATTCTAATACATTTATTATGTATTTCTAAGAGGGTAAAATAAATAACTGATTTGAGTGTAGTGGGTTGTTGTAGGTTTTTTCAGGCTATATGGCATGGTCTAGAGGCTTTCCATGGTCATATAGCCCGAAAAAACCTACAACAACCCAGTAATTTCAGCCATGAAAGCCTTCGACAGTACATTGATTTGTGTATAAGTCGAGGGGGACTTTTTAAGCCTAAAAAAGGGCTGAAAAACTAGGCTTATACTCGAGTAGATACAGTAATAATCTAGAGCTGATGTAGTAGTAGCAATCTTTTGTGGGTAGTCAGCCTCTCCCCTTCTGACAACCTCATTGCCACGGTACTATAAGAGGGTTTTGTGAGACCAATTGCTCTTGTTGTCACGTGGTTTCGAGGCAACAGTGTAATGTTGAGGCTGCAGACCATATTTTCATTCTAACGGACCACAGATGGACCACAGGTTGGGAACCAATGATCAACTAGAACCCAAGTAAATCTTTTACTTTCTAACTGGAACGTCACACTGCAGAATTGTAACACTATTGTTCCATTTCCATCTCATGGAATCCAGGGTTTTTCTCCTGAGTTGCCCTTCAAAAACAGCCTTAATACAATGTTGAAAGTAAAAAAACAAACTTTACTTCAGCAAACACAAAGGATAAGCCAATGCAGTTGAAAAATTCAAAAGAAAGCAAGGAAGTCTTAATGCAGACACAAATTAAAGTCTCTTACAAAGTCCCAAAAGAAACAGCAGTCTTCCATCAGACAACGGGCAATGACCACTAAGTCCTTAGCAGCAGACACAAAGCAGGTTCAATTGGAGTGAAAACATCAGCATCAGAGTAGTTGTTACCAGCGAAAGCTGCTCCTGCTTTTGATTTATAGCCCTGAATTCCCCATGCAGGAGGTGCTAGGGCGTCTCCCAATTAGCTCAGCGTTTTTAGCAGCTATTCTAGCTGAACACCGTCTGTGCTCTTTTCATCTCTCTAAAAATGTGGGCACTTGTAAACCCTCATCATCTGATTCTTCTCCCTCCAATCCCTGAGCACTTCCCTGCTCCCCTTCCTCTTCCAAAGATGAGGAATCCCTAACAGTTTTGTAGTTCAGAGAAGGAGCATTTAACAATTCTCTGCCAGGGGATGCTTGTTCCTTGCAGGGTTACAAACCCCAGGATTCAGTAGAATGGAGCCATGACAGTTGAAGTGGAATCTTAGCACTATAATTTCATGGTGTGAATGAACATTGAGTTGCCACCAGATATCTATGTTTTCTGGAAGTGAGTACAATGAAAATGACTGACTGGTGTCTGTTGAACTGAGATGGATAGAAAGCGAGCTATGTGAGCTGATCACATACTTGTGTTAGTTTTCATGCTTATTTTTGGCAGCAAAGGGGAGGGGGGTTTAAAACACAGTTTCTCGCCACTGATGTTTGTCCTTTCATTTTTCCTCACCCGCTTTTGTTTTGGGAACAGGCAACTCTGGTGAAATATACTTTAGACGAGTTTGACCAGCGGATCCTGTACGAATATTTGGCAGAAGCAAGTGTTGTGTTTCCAAAAGTTTTTCCTGTTGTGTAAGTGTCAGTTCTTTCATAACCAGGTTGCTTTCTTCAAAACATCCTTCTGTAAGATCCAGACATTGTCTGCTGTTTCTGCTTTTGTCCTTTTTCTTTCTTCTCCTCTCCCTTTCTTGCCTTTCTTTCCATCTTTCTTTCCTTGTTCTCTTCCTCCCTTCCTTTTGTCCATGTGTCATCTTCCTTTCCTAGGAACACCACAGAGGGTCACTTCACCTAGCAACAGACTTTGTGATACAAACATACATACTTTGATATATATTGATTTCTTTCCATCATGATAGCCATGTATAAATTTGTGAGAGGAAGTCATAGGGAGGAGGGACTAAGCTTCCTTTCTGCTGCCTTGGAGACTAGGACACAATGGAACATACCTTGTGAAGTCTGACTTGACCATGGTGGTCCACACCTTAGTTACCTCTAGACTGGATTACTGTAATGCTCTGTACGTGGGGCTACCCTTGAAGACGGCCCGGAAACTACAACTTGTCCAACGTTCAGCAGCCAGATTAATAACTGGGGTTAGTTATGGGGAACGATCCACTCCCATGTTTAAGGAGCTCCACTGTATGTCGTTTGTTTTCCGGTCCCAATTCAAGGTACAGGTTATCATCTACAAAGCCCTAAAAGGTTTGGGATCCGCCTACTTTTGTGACCATATCTCTCCCCGTGTACCAACCCGGGCCCTTCGATCTTTGGGGGAGGCCCTCCTTTTGCCCCTACCAATCTCACAAGCTCGTCTTGGCACAAAGGAGAGAGCTTTCTCCTCTGTGGCCCCCTCAACTCTGGAACTCATTACCTGGAGAGATCAAGAAAGCCCCTTCACTAGAAACATTCAAAAAGAACCTTAAAACCTGCCGCTTTCGCTGTGTCTTTGGCGAGTAGGTGTGCAACATGATACTATTGCTCCCCTCAACGCTTCTGCCACTGGAGTACACGCCCTCCAAATGGGAAATTTAGTTTCACAACTCTGTTTGTTTTTATGAACTCCCTGCAAATAACCTGCTCCTACTTTTATCTCATTAGTCTTTTAATTGTTTTATCCTGTAGATGTGGCCCGTCCACTATTATCATGACTGTGTCTATTGGAATGTGTTTTTTTTTCTATGTAATTTTGATGATGTTGTTTGTTGTTTATGTTTTTGGTTTTATTCCGCTGTAATATGTTGTCTGGGCTTGGCCCCATGTAAGCTGCTCCGAGTCCCCACTGGGGAGATGGTGGCAGGGTATAAATAAAGTTTATTATATTATTATTATTAACAATAGCTTCAAACTACAAGAAAGGAGATTCCACCTGAACATAAGAACTTCCTGACTGTGAGAACTGTTCAGCAGTAGAACTCTCTGCCCTGGAGTGTGGTAGAGGCTCCTTCTTTGGAGGTTTTTAAACACAGGCTGGATGGCCATCTGTTGGGGGTGCTTTGAGTGAGATTTTCCTCCTTCTTCGCAGGGGGTTGGACTGGATTCTATGATTCTATTATTCCCCCCCCCCCCCATATCAGGATTCAAGACAACAAATTAAAAATGCATTTTGTTAAACAAAACTAAAATTAAAAATTACAATGATTAAACAATCACAAATATAAAAACACATATTTATTATTTACAGTATTTATACTCGGCTCTTCTCACCCCAAAGGGGTGAGAGACTTATAGAATAAACACATATGGCAAACATTAAATGCCGATTATATACTTAACAAGGACAGACAACACAGAGATAAAGGCAGTTATTCCCCATATTTCTGGCATCTCGGAGGCTGTGCTCGATTCCAGCCACAGGGTCAGGATGCTGTCATTCCATCTTCTATGTCGAGGAGCTTTCCTCCGATCAAAGTCCTTTAAGAGTGCCTTTATTACCTCCCTATTTTATCTACACGCATATCTTCTTTCGACCTGCTAGGTGGGCAGGTGAGCTGGGGCTAACACCGGGTGCTCACCCGACCCGGGCTCGAACTGCTGACCTTTCAATCAGCAGGATTTTTCTGCAGCACAGCGGTTTAGCCTGCTGTGCTAAGCCCGGCCTCACATTAAAACATACTCATACACATTAGCACATTAATTTGCAAATTTCCAACATATAATGTGGTGGAATGGGCTTTATATCATCAAACACCTGTCTGAGCAGAAATATCTTGATTTGTTTGCAGAAGAAACAAATTATGAGTTGGCCAGGGGCAGAGAATGGCCCATTAAATTCTCCCCAGAAATGCGATTCCCCCGGCCAAGGAGAACGGCCACCCAAATCAATTTGTATGTACTCCACATACTGACTGGATATTTCCATAATTGCTTTGTTGACTACATAATCTTTACACGCTATTGACTCCCTGCAGTAAAAAAAACAAAACAAAACCAGGCAATGTTCTACTAACAGAGCTTTGTTTCCTTCTCTAGGCACAATTTATTGGACTTCAAAATAAATAACCTGTTATCGCAGTGTCAGGATCCGAATTTATTGAACCCAATTCATGGCATTGTTCAGAGCGTGGTTTACCATGAAGAATCGCCGCCCCAGTACCAGACATCTTACCTGCAAAGTATGTACCTTACAGCTCCAGGGAAGGCGCTGGTAACAGTGTGATAAAAATACGAGGGTTGAATGAAAAGTAATGCCTCCACCTTCGTTACTTGGGTTTGGATAGGAATATTTTAATAAATCAAATGCAGAAATGATCCTTAGAATGTACTCTTTAATGAAAAGTAATGCCTCCACCTTCGTAACTCCTCAACAGATGGCAGTACTGGTATGTGGCAGGTACTGGCTTGTTTGTAGGCTCTCCTCTACAGTTCCATTGTGGCGGGAAGCCTTACCATTGAACGGTTGTGTCATTTCACTATTCATTTTCCACAAAACCACCAGACAATTGGATACATTTCTGCCAACAATTAACAGGTTTTCTGAAGCCGTCATGGAAGAAGTTGACACTCTGTTTCCGCAACCAGCGTCTCACAGTTCTCTCATTTTGGGTACCCATCGTGCACAGATCTTCCGATAGCCAAGCAAAGCAATAATGTGACCCACAAGTTCTTGTGAAATGCTGATTATGCTTGAAATTTCTCTCTGAGTGGTACGACGATCGTCCTGAATTAATCTGTCAACCTTTTGCTTGTGAAACCCGGTGGTTGCTGTCACAAGATGTCCAACTCTTTGTTTGTCACGCAAGTCAGATGTTCCCACCTCAACATCTTTAAACTTACTCGCCCAACAAAACACAATACTCATATCAACACAATCACCATAAACAGCTTGCATTCTCTGATGAATCTCCTTTGGGGTGAAATCTTCTGCGGTCAAGAATTCAATGACTGCACATTGCTTCAATTGCATTTTTTCTTTTTTTTCTTTTTTTAAAATGTTTTTATTAATTTTTTCATACAGATAACAAAACAATACAATATTTTATTTATTTATTATTTAAACTTATATGCCGCCACTCCCCTGGGGCTCGGAGCGGCTTACAAGAATAGCTAAAATCTAACAAAGTTTAAAAGCAATTTAAAACAATTTAAAAACAACAGTATCAAACATTAAAAGCCTGTCAGAACAGGTATGTCTTACATGCCCTGCGGAAAGCTGATAAGCCATCTAAAAGATAACATAAAAACTGTTTACAATCTTTATGGCTAGGATACAGGTTCCAATTGTGCTTCCCTTTACCATATATCTTGATTAATAACCCTTTTAAACCCCCCATCCCACCCACCCACCCTTACCACCTCTTCCCACCTCCCTCCCACACCCATCTGGGTTTACTTGATTCAGTACATTGATTTAATTATTTGGAAGGCCTGATTTAAAGAGAAAAAAATGAATATTCAGTCAAGACAAGATTGGTTTAGGAAATGGTCTTGTTTAATCGACAAAGCGGAAGGAAAAGATAGGTACAGAACTTTAAATCAGGCATTGCTTAAGTCGCATTGACCGACTGTCTGCGTAGGGTTCCATACTTCGCACTTTAACAACACAACCATTAAATGCTAAGACTTCCTGCTAAAATGGAACTGTAGAAGAGAGTCTACTGAACAAACCAGTACCTGCCGCATACCTTTTTTTTTTCTTTTTTTTTTTTGTCGTGTCAGGATCTATTTGAGTAATTGTAGGTAGCTTCTAGTGTGAGAGAATTGGCCGTCTGCAAGGACGTTGCCCAGGGGATGCCCAGATGTTTTGATGTTTTATCATCCTTGTGGGAGGCTTCTCTCATGTCCCCGCATGAGGAGCTGGAGCTGATAGAGGGAGCTCATCTGCGCTCTCCCCGGATTTGAACCTGCGACCTGTCAGTCTGCAGTCCTGCTGGCAAAAGGGTTTAACCCACTGCGCCACCGGGGGCTCCGCCGCATACCAGTACTGCCATCTGTTGAGTTACGAAGGTGGAGGCATTATTTTTCATGCAACCCCCGTAGATTTAAATACAATTTAAATAGCCTTTAAAATTCACCACCCCCCATAACATGGCAGGATTTCACAGGAAACCTTACAACTCTCAGGGGAAAGTTATTTATACTCAGAAGTCAGTAGCGCAGTGGGTTAAACCCCTGTGCGGGCAGGACTGAAGACCAACAGGTTCGAATCCGGGGAGAGGCGGATGAGCTCCCTCTATCAGCTCCAGCTCCTCATGCGGGGACATGAGAGAAGCCTCCCACAAGGATGATAAAAACATCAAAATCATCCAGGCATCCCCTGGGCAACGTCCTTGCAGACGGCCAATTCTCTCACACCAGAAGCGACTTGCAGTTTCTCAAGCCGCTCCTGACACGATAAAAAAAGAAAAAAGTCCATACAAACATACACACTGCAGAATCTGGAGAATGGTATGATTCCCACTCCTCTTGTAAGAGACTCACACACTTTTCCAATGGATTGCTGCATTAAAGGAGTGACAAACATGAATTGAGGTTGCATTGGAGTTTGTGAGTCAGCATTTGCAAAACCATCTTGGCACACTTCTTTGAATATTACCAGTATTTCCTTAACTAAGTTAATTCTTCTCTTCTTGTCCTTGCGGTTTTGTTGGCTGCAGGTTTTGGATTCAACGGTTTATGGAGGTTTGCGGGACCATTTTCTAAGGTGAGGGGTTTGGGTCTCTCTTGGGTTGGACCTTCTGTTTTTCAATAACGCCCGAATAAAGTGAGAGAGTCGATTTCATTATGAAAATGAAGTACGCTACAACCACAGGAGCTGATCTCCTCGTTTTTTTCCAGCAAACACAAATCCCGGACTATGCTGAGCTCATCGTGAAGTTCCTGGATGCCTTGATCGATACCTATTTGCCGGGCATCGATGAGGAAACCAGCGAGGAATCCCTCCTGACCCCGACGTCTCCCTATCCTCCCGCGGTGCAGAGTCAGCTCAGCATTACCGCGAATTTAAATCTCTCTAATTCCATGACCTCACTTGCAACTTCCCAGCATTCCCCAGGTCAGTTTGTTGCACTTGTTGCCCTTCTCTCTCTCTCTCTTTTGGACATTGGACTTTCAGTTTGATAGATATCTTCCTCGTGTAGTGTCCATTTATTTCAATTTTCTCCACAAAAGGTAATTCGTTAATATTATGATAATGCACCTAACCTTACTGCATGTATATAAACCGTGAATATTTACTAAATTTTAGTCAAATTATATTGCCAATAGTTTATACATGAAAAATATTTATTTAATTAGTCTATTGTTTATGTTTGTGCAGCAAGAAACTATATTAGTAGGCCTAATGCAGTTGAAAAGTCTGAAAGTTTAAATGTCGCTTTAATCGTGACTTTAGTTTATATCCTGTTTGCTTCTCTTGACTTTTCTTTTGTATTCAAGGAAAGGATTGTCTCTTACAATGCTCCAGCAGGAGTCTGACAGCATTGACGGAGTCCATTGGCCTTGATATCTTTTTTCCATAGTGCTTTATTGACACACGTGCGAGGCATAACTACAGTAAAAAGAACAATGTAAAACGATGTTTAATGATACTGTCTCAGTCTTCAACTGACTGACCCTCACCGTTCAAAAGTCTAGCCTTATATAGGGCTTTCTGGCTTTTGCTCACGGCACTAATACTGCGTCATCAAACTTTCTAGAATATTCTAGAATCTTCCATAGTGTAAGTCGCAACATGCATTTTTTCAACCATACGTGATCACGTGATTGCTTATATCATAAAAACTAGAGCCAATATACATTTTTAAATGTCATTTTCGTTTTCAGCACCCCAAAATCATAAAAGAACAACTATTTTCAGGCCCGCAACTTTTTCTCCGTTGAACAGTGTTGTTATTATTATTATTATTATTATTATTATTATTATTATTATTATTACTGGGTGCAGTGCCTAAAGACCTTGGCCTGCACTTAAGCACAATCGGCGCTGACAAAATTACCATCTGGCAGCTGCAAAAGGCCACCTTACTGGGATCTGCATGCATTATTCGCTGATGCATCACACAGTCCTAGGCACTTAGGAAGTGTCCAACGTGTGGTCCAATTCAACAGCCAGCAGAGTGTCTGCTGTGGACTCATCTTGTTGTGTTTCTAATAATAATAATAATAATAATAATAATAATAATAATAATAAGGTGGTCCCAGTGGTGATTGGCATACTGGGTGCAGTGCCTAAAAACCTTGGCCTGCACTTAAGCACAATCGGAACTGACAAAATTACTATCTACCAGTTGCAGAAGGCCACCTTACTGGGATCTGCACGCATTATTCACCGATACATCACACAGTCCTAGACACTTGGGAAGTGTCCGACGTGTGATTCAATACGACAGCCAGCAGAGTGGTCTTGTTTGCTGTGGACTCATCTTGTTGCATTTCAAATAATAATAGTAATAATAATAATAATCTTTATTTATTTTCCACCCTATCTCCCTGGAGGAACACACAACATATGAATCCTCATGTTTCCACCAGCCCTCACAACCTCTGAGGATCTTGTTGTGTTTCTAATAATAATAATAATAATAATAATAATAATAATAATAATAATAATAATATATTTATAACCCGCTCTCTCCCCCTGGATGAACCCTTAATGTTAGTATGATGCCTCCTCCACAAGTTTGTCTCAATTTGTGGTGGGATGTTAGTACTAAGTAATTAATTTTGGCCTCCATCCTTTATTATTATCACATTTGTAATGTAAAGGATATAATGAATCGGTCTATCTTTGAGATGTGTATTAGCCTATACAAATCGACCTCATGTATAAGTCGAGGGCACATTCGGGGGCCAAAATTATAGGTTTTGATATGTTTGCTGACATTTTTAGACTTACACATAGGTATATAGCAGGCATGGGCAAACTTCGGCCCTCCAGGTGTTTTGGACTTCAACTCCCACAACTCCTAACAGCCTGCCGGCTGTTAGGAGTTGTGGGAGTTGAAGTCCAAAACACCTGGAGGGCCAAAGTTTGCCTGTGCCTGGTTTATTTATTTATTTTTGTCGTGTCAGGAGCGACTTGAGAAACTGCAAGTCGCTTCTGGTGTGAGAGAATTGGCCGTCTGCAAGGACGTTGCCCAGGGGATGCCTGGATGATTTGATGTTTTTATCATCCTTGTTGGAGGCTTCTCTCATGTCCCCGCATGAGGAGCTGGAGCTGATAGAGGGAGCTCATCCGCCTCTCCCCGGATTTGAACCTGCGACCTGTCGGTCTTCAGTCCTGCTGGCACATGGGTTTAACCCACTGCGCCACCGGGGGCTCCGCCTGGTTTATCATATACATACATATGCATCCTTAAGGTCACTCTCTAACCAGAGCTCACGTACACAATAGCTTGGCAAGAACACTGATTTTAGATCATGCTCGTGAACATGGCTGGCTGCAAAAGAACAGCCTGAGCTCTGGTCAGAAGTCCAAAACACCTGGACTGCCGAAATTTGCCCATGCCCACTCCCTTTTGAAATTGATGCTTTCCCTTAAATGTGAGAAGAAAAGCCAGTCCTTGCAGGAATCCTCGGGAAGCGTTTGCCTTCTCACCACCCTTCTTTTGCCTTCTGTTCAAGGGATCGATAAGGAGAACGTGGAGCTCTCTCCCACCACGACGCACTCCAACAGCGGGAGGACGCGCCACGGCTCTGCCAGCCAAGTCCAGAAGCAGCGCAGCACCGGCAGCTTCAAGCGCCACAGCATCAAAAAGATTGTGTGAAGCTCTTTCTGCCCCTTTTCCGTGTTATTTTATTTTTTCAAGACTGACAGATGCACTCTTGCCCCGCCCCGCCCCTTCACCACGCCACGTGGTCCTGCCGCACTTAAAATCTTTGAACTCCTCCCATCCGCCGCGGTGCCAGACGATCAATTCTTGAAACTTATTGTGTATTTTTTTTACTTTGGGGACTTTTTTTGTTTTAATGCAGCTGCCTTCTTTTTGTTTTGTGTTATTCTTAAACAGACGAACCATCCCTATTGTTTTTTAATTTTATTTTAAGTTGTCCTGACACGAAAATAAAGTCATCTGATGAAGAGAACCACTTTTAAACTACCCGTTCAAAGCGGGGAATCGCCAACGACGGCAGTGACGGTGTCCTGACGGCGGAAATCGCCTCCTACAGACACTTTTTTGGACACCTTGGTCTTGGGTTGCTGCCATTTTCTTTTGAGCGTGCTGCTCTTTTGTTTAATAGCTTGTTTTGTATCTGTTTTTAAAATTGTTAATATTCAATCCTCTTTGCACATTAGTGGTTTTGTTGGCCAAGGGACAGGCGCGGTGTCCTGGGTTTCGTCCGAGATCCTTTGAGCTGTGGATTTCTTTCTAAACAAGAGATAAGAACCTTCACTCGTTTTTCTCCATCCATCTCTTTTCTGCTCTAAAAAGCAGATTTAGATAAACTTCTCAAAACTTTTTTCCTGACCCATGAATGCTTTCTCCTCCCCCCCGCCCCAAAAAAAATTATCATCTCAATCAAGAGCTCAAGATAAATGCACACTGCATTGTCGAAGGCTTACATGGCCGGAATCACTAGGTTCTTGTGGGTTTTTTTCGGGCTATAGGGCCATGTTCTAGAGGCATTTCTCCTGACGTTTCGCCTGCATCTATGGCAAGCATCCTCAGAGGTAGTGAGCTCACTACTTCTGAGGATGCTTGCCATAGATGCAGGCGAAACGTCAGGAGAAATGCCTCTAGAACATGGCCCTATAGCCCGAAAAAACCCACAAGAACCTAAATGCACACTGTTTGGGACTCTGCCCAAAATTCCCATGTGTTGATTTGTAGGCAAAACAGGGTTCCTGCGCAGGAAAAAAGATTTTCCGTACAGAAAAGAAAACTATTTCTACGCAGTGATTTTTTCCTGTGTACATAAGAAGCCGTTTCCTGCGTAGAGAAGTCTGTTTTCTGTACAAACAACCAGGAATGGATTTTGCGCAGAATACATCAAGCTTCAAAAACTCCATTGGTTTTTGGAATTGTTTTCTTTCAAAACATTGCTAAACAGGCTTCCCAAATCTTCCATGTCTGCCCATAAAATTGCTAAAATAACTACGGTAGTTTCTCCTTTTGAGAAGAAACATACTCAAGAATTACATCTCTGTGTTGTCAGAGGCTTCATGGCGAAAATCACTGGCTTGCTGTGAGTTTTCTGGGCTGTATGGCCATGTTCCAGAAGCATTCCCTCCTGATGTTTCACCCACATATATAGCAGACCTCCTCAGAGGTTGAGAGGTCTGTTGTAAACTAGGGTTTCCAAAAGGATTTGGGTGCTGATTCAGAAAATTGCATTGGATAGACCACATCAGCTCTAGTTTCTGATACAGAACACATGCCATCCAGTAGTTGCAAAAAACACAAATCCACTACAAATCGTAGTGCATAATCACAGAGGTAAAAGTTTTTTGCAGCTTATATATGATTACCTCTGTGATTTATGTACTATGGCTTGTAGTGGATTTGTGTTTTTTGCGATTTTGGGAATCCATTGTCTTTTGTGTGCCATCCAGTAGTTGCCATCTGCTTCCCCACATTTTTATTGTGTCAGGAGCAACCGGACAGTTGTATTACATTTTTAACAAAACAGACAAACAAATAGACAAAACACAAAGTTTGCATGCTTGGTATTTGGTTAAATGTCCTTTGACCAGTATCTGGCCACTTGGAGTGCCTCTGGTATTGCCGCAAGAAGGTCCTCCATTGTCCATGTAGCAGGGCTCAGGTTGCATTGTAGTAGGTGGTCAGTGGTTTGCTCTTCTCCGAACTCGCATGTCATGGATTCCACTTTGTGGCCCCATTTCTTAAGGTTGGCTCTGCATCTCGTGGTGCCAGAGCGCAGTCTGTTCAGCACCTTCCAAGTCACCCAGTTTTTTTGTGCTCAGGGGGGAGTCTCTCAATTGGTATCAGCCATTGATTGAGGTTCTGGGTTTGAGCCTGCCACTTTTGGACTCTTGCTTGCTGGGGTGTTCCAGTGAGTGTCTCTCGCTTGCCCACAGAAAACCATATTTAATAAGCATCAGCATTATAAGAAGGTTTTGCGAGACCTGTTGCTCTCGTTGCAACGGTGAGGCCATGGACCATATTTTAGTTCTTGAGGTCCATGGACCACAGGTTGGGAACCACTGTTCTAACAGAAAGTAAGTTGACGGCTAACGTGTAGACTGAAGGACTTGTTGTCCAGAATCACAGTTGAATGCTCGGACCACTATCCCATGTTGGTTCCTAGCATACATACGAGGGTTGAATGAAAAGTAACTCCTCAACAGATGGCAGTACTGGTATGCGGCAGGTACTGGCTTGTTCAGTAGACTCTCCTCTACAGTTCCATTTTGGCGTGAAGCCTTAGCATTGAACGGTTGTGTTGTTAAAAAGTATGGAACCCTGCACAGATGGTCGGCCAATGCAACTTAAGCAACGTGCAGTCATTGAATTCTTGACAGCAGAAGGTGTCACTCCAAAAGAGATTCATCAGAGAATACAAACTGTTTATGATGATTGTGTTGATGTGAGTACTGTCCGTCGTTGGGCAAATAAGTTTAAAGACGTTGAGGTGACATCTTCTGCTATCAAGAATTCGATGACTGCATGTTGCTTAAGTTGCAGTGACCAACTGTATGCGCAGGGTTCCATACTTCACACTTTAACAACACAGCCATTCAATGCTAAGGCTTCACGGCAAAATGGAACTGTAGAGGAGAGTCTACTGAACAAGCCAGTACCTGCCGCATACCAGTACTGCCACCTGTTGAGGAGTTACGAAGGTGGAGGCATTACTTTTCATTCAACCCTCGTATCTGCTATTTGGACTTAAGGACCCAAGCATCTACATCTCCCAGGATCTTGGGCACCAGGGACACTGTTGCTTCAGCAGGGAATGAATTTATGAGAAAACGGAAGAATGGTTTATATCCAGAGGAGGAAACATGGCCAGACATCCCAGAAAATTCACAGCAACCCAATTACATCTCTATTATATTGCTTTAGACTGCCCAAAACTGTGCAGTTGTCTAAATTTTGAATTTTTTAATTAAAGAAAAGCATGTTTGTCAGGAAATTAGTACTGTTGACACCAGCATTTCCATATATATTGACAATAACTGATTAATTAGAACTAAAGTCACCTTAGTTTTTTAAAAAAAGGCAAAACGGAATCAGATTCTACATCTGAATTTGTAAACGATGGTACAAAAAGGGGGTTACAGATTTAATGTTGTCAGCAATTGTTACTAAAGTTCAGTTAACACGTAATTTGTTTTGTATATATCTAAGGAACAATTGCTCTTATTGTGTTGATACAGAGGAGAACAGTGTTAAGTAGGTTTCGCTCCTGGCGGAGGAAGGAATTAGCAAGGAGGACAGACCAAGACGAAATGGATGGCGAGGCAGAGAGCGAGAAACAGGGAAGTAGCTACAAGTTTTGCAGTTCCTTTTTGCCCGTAACTAAAATATGTGTTGCAGTGCAACCCTAATATCTGTGGGAGATATATTTCTGCACTTTGCATTGATATGGTAAGCTGTGGATAAGAGCCAATCGTGTTACAGTAGAGTCTCGCTTATCCGACATAAATGGGCTGGCAGAAAGTTGGATAAACAAAAATGTCCGATAATACGGAGTCAGCTATTGTTATCCGTCTGACACGGTGTTAGACACCTAGAATACTAACAACAGGGACTCAAAGGGTTAAAGCAAGGCAATGCCTCGGGGCTAGAGGGGCCCAGCAGGAAGTGCCTGGATGCGGAAGAGGAGGAGTGTGGAAATCACAGATGGAAGGAGAGAGGATGCTTCCGCTTCTGGTCCTGCCTCTTTTCCCCTTTCCTCCATCCTCCTCCTCATAGAATCATAGAGTTGGAAGAGACCTCATGGGCAGGATCGTAGCCAGAAAAAAGTTTCAGGGGGAGGGGTTGAAATTTCGGGGGGGGAGGGTTGAAAATTTCGGCCGGGGGGGAGGGGGTTGAAACCTGCCTCCTAGCTCACGCTGAAGCAAAGAGCACAGCAGGGGGCAGAGCAGCCTTCAATAGCCTGCAGCTCCGCCCCTGTCAACCACCTCCACCAAGTCTGGCCTCCTTAATGAGAGCATTCAACACACCCCCCCAAACTTGGTTGCTTCACTATTGTTCTATTCACTATTCAACCCCCCCCCCCCCCCAACTTGGTTGCTTCACTATCGGCTATTGCTGCAAGTAATGACAGTGTGAATAAATTGTCAATATTTGCCTGAGATAGTGCTTGCAGTTCTGGAGGGACTCTTAATTTTTTGCATCTCATAGACTTAGCATGGGGATTTGGTTAACCAGTTAAAATTCATGAGTAAACCAGGTTTTTTTAAAAAATCTGAAACATTTCGGGGGGGGGGGTTGAACCCCTAACCCCCCCCTCGCTACAGAGACCTCATGGGCCATCCAGTCCAACCCCCTGCCAAGAAGCAGGAAATTGTATTCAAAGCACTCCTGACAGATGGCCATCCAGTCTGTTTCAAAGCTTCCAAAGAAGGAGCCTCCACCACACTCCGGAGCAGAGAGTTCCACTGCTGAATGGCTCTCACAGTGAGGAAGTTCTTCCTCATGTTCAGATTGAAACTCCTTTCTTGTCGTTTGAAGCCATTGCTCCATTGCGTCCTAGTCTCCGGGGCAGCAGAAAACAAGCTTGCTCCTTCCTCCCTATGACTTCCGCTCACATATTGATCCATGGCTATCATGTCTCCTCTCAGCCTTCTCTTCTGAAGACTAAACATGCCTAGGTCTTTGAGCCGCTCCTCATAGGGCTTGTTCTCCAGACCCTTGATCATTTGAGTCGGCCTCCTCTGGACACATTCCAGCTTGTCAGCATCTCCCTTCAATTGTGGTGCCCAGAATTGGACACAATATTCCAGGTGTGGCTTGACTAAGGCAGAATAGAGGGGTAGCATGACTTCCCTGGATATAGACCAGGGGTTCTCAAACTTTTTAAACAGAGGGCAGGTCACAGTCCCTCAAACTGTTGGAGGGCCGGATTATAATTTGGAAAAAAAATGAATGAATTCCAATACATACATATCTTATTTGTAGTGCAAATAACACTTAAAAACAATACAATAATTAAAATGAAGAATAATTTTAACAAATATAAACTTATTAGTATTTCAATTGGAACTGTGGATCTGCTTTTGGCTGATGAGATAGGATTGTTGTTGTTGTGTGCTTTCAAGTTGTTTCAGACTTATGTTGACCCTGATCAAGGGCCAGGCAAATGACCTTGGAGGGCTGTATCCAGCCCCCAGGCCTTAGTTTGAGGACCCCTGATCTAGACACTAGACTCCTCTTGATGCAGGCCAAAATCCCATTGGCTTTTTTTGCCACCACATCACATTGTTGGCTCATGTTTAACTTGTCCACGAGGATTCCAAGTTTAATGTATTGTCGAAGGCTTTCATGGCCGG